TTCTCTCTCTCTCTCTTTATTTACTTTTGTCATTTTTCATATGTACAAACAAGCGCACACCCTTTATGCCCTTGAAGAGATATGGTTCAAATGTGTGCACTGCCATACCCGATTGAACGACTTTTGTGTCTTGCCACTCTCTCTGAAAGGTCCTTTCGCTCCACAGTTGAGTGTAGCTATAAACACTTCTTTGGATATAGTCAGTCAATACTTCGTACGAACTAGTTTGTTTCAGGCCCTGGCCTTAAAGACATAATATGTCAAATGTCTGCATTAAAATGTCTATAAACACTATACCTATGTTATATATGTTGTTGAGGTGTGTACTTACATTATCCCAAATATTCCAACAATAATAAAATTCATATCCCCTTTGTACATGCACCAGCATTGTGGTTTAAATTGACTTTTTTATCAAGTTTTAGGCTACATTATATAATACAATTTTCAGATGTTGTTTATTTTAAACAATCTATTTTAACTGGATGAACGTTTTTAGTCATCGGACGTCTGGATCTTAAGTCAGAGAAACAAGCTGAGCTAACATTAGAAGCAGCTTGGCTCGCAGCCCCTCCGGGACGTCCTTTGTTTGCTGAACAATGTTGGAGAAACACTGATTTGTACAGTGAAACTGCTTTATTCAGTGTTTTTACCAATTTTAATCACAAGGTCGATTTGTTTTAATGAGGAGGAGACCTCTGTGGATAATTCCTGTTAAAAAACTCTGAACAATGAACACTGAAGGAATCCTAACTGGGAGCAGACGACTGCAATGACAGCAATGGTGGTGAAGACTCCCACTACTCCAAAGATCTGATGTTACTTCCCAACATCATCGAACTTCATCTTTTGTTATTGTTTTGATGGGAGAGACCTCATAGCAGCAGAAATTACATATTGTTTGTTTCAATACCAAAATGAATTGTTTCATTAAAGCATACACATTCATATAATGCTGTGTTCAAGAGTTGGCCGTCACAAGAAAAGAACTGACCGTGCTTTTGTAATATTACTTGGTTCATAATGTATTTAGTATTATTATCATTATTGTTAGGAAAAAATGACCCTTGATTGTAGTCAACTCTAAATGCTTTCACTGTATCATTCTGCAAAAACAAACAGGGATTGCCATTTCATTTCACTTCTGTCAACAGTAAGAAACTGTACAAAATGTACTGTACTCTGGTTTGCCAAAGCCATTAATCTTTTAGTAAGACAACTTCACGCCTAAATGAGTTCTCATTTACTGCTCTGGACATGCTCCAGAGAATAACCTTTTCTATAGCTTGGCGAACTGTAACATGCTAACTTTACTAAACTCCAGGAGAATAGTACCACAGTCAGAAGAAAAACCAAATACAGCTGGTTCCTATATTTGCAGTTGGATAGGGTGGCCTTGGCTCAAAATGTAGCCTTCGTCTCCCTCCCTTTCCAGCCTCTCCATATCTTTCCCATTCACTTTCTCTAGTGTCTCAGCCCCTCTGCCACCCCCTCCATGCGTTCTTTGAAAGTGTTTTCCTGGTAAGGCGCAGGGAGCGGGGAGTGAGTGGAGGCCTCTCCTTTCTGAGAACTGGCCCAGCTAACATGGTTTATAGCTGCCCAGAGACAGTATCAGACGTGTATGTGAATCAGGGAGAGAGGCAGCAAAAAGGAGGGAGGACAAGCGAGAGGGAGAGGAGGGAGGGAGGGAGTACGAAGGGAGGAGTTTGCAAAAATGCCAAGCCATGGTTCACTTCAGCAGGCAGTTAAAGTGAGGCCAGGGAGAGGAGAGAGAGAAAGGAGGGAAAGAGAAAAAAAACTCTCTCCGGGTTTGTAGAATTATTTCTGCTGCAAGTTGAGAAACGTTTTGCCTCCATATCTAGACAATAAAAATACTTACATCTATCACAAATATACCTGCACCACAAAGCTGCATAAGTATTAATTTACCAGCCAAAACTATTTTTCAGTGTGGAAAGCATGTCTTGTTTCATGGCTGAAACACCACCAGAAGAAAAATAGAACAGGGTGATGCATACAAAACTGTAATAAATACAAACATAAATGATGTATCAGTAGAACAGAAGCACTTTTATCGCAGTCCATCTTGTACAAATATTCAAACTAATATGACGTCTTCAGCCAACCCAGAAACATCTTTTTACGATGTAATTACAGAAAGAAGAAGAGCTGAGCCATCTGCATCTTATGGCCAGCACGAAATCTGCATTTTCCTGCTTCTGCTTAAAAACACTGGAACATTAGGTAGCTGTGTTGTTGTCGACATTCAGCAGTAACCTGATTTCTTAAATGCAAATGAGAGACCTGGTTTCCTTAATCTGGGTAAGGGATTAAGAAAAGCCCCGTTAACAGTAAAATTTCTGTCAAATAAACCAGATTCTTTGGCAATGTGCACAACTTAACTGGGTTTCTAATGAGAGTTTTACATGCACGCACTTTGATGACAAAGACATCAGACTGAGAAAGTATTGCGGTGGCAGCAGTGTGAGTGAGGGAAGACAGGAAATATTAATTGTAGCTATATTCAAAATAATAAAATGCAAATTTCAAAGTCTAAATAATTAATTTTGCACACAAGAACAATCTACAAAGCAGCTCCCTGCAGTTTCAATTGCAATTTGAACTTTCTTATAAAAACAAACTGCCAGGAAAGTGTGTTATAAAACTGTAGTTTAGATCAGTGTTATGAGAGTTTGAGCTACATTGCTTGCTAGTGATCTTAGACGTTCAGATGTATGTTAAAGGATGGACGTTAGGGATTAAACCTGTAACTTGGTCAACCTTCCTAACCACCAGGCTGTGGTGCCGCTCCTCGATGCCAAATGTTACAATCCCTGCGAATAGTAAATGGGCCACACTAACAATAGCTCTATTCACACAACGTCTAGGGGCCTCTGTGCCTTCAGGGAAATGAAGATGATATTTGTAAAATTTGGGCTTGACCATTTCTAATCTACAATGCACTTTTGGTGCTAAGCCAAGGTATCCTTCCTTCAGCCACTGCCGTGCCCCCTCTCTCACCCCTCTCTCTCAGGGTTTCACTTGGTTCTTCTGCCCCTGTCTCTCCATATCACTGACACAAACGCCTACTGCCCAACTGGTTTGTCTCACTGTCTGTCAAACCACAAGGATACTGTTGTCCTCCTCACCTGCCTCTCCTGGAGAAAGTGAAGACCTGTGCTTAATCACAAATACATCCCCTTCACTCACACGTTTCTATTTTATTACTGGCATTGAGAAATCTCATTTGACACGAATTCTGGAGACATTTGTGCTGTAGCTATGATATCCTTTTTTAGAAAAACAAAAATGCAGAGAAATGAATTCAAACTAATGAATTTGAATGAGGCCCAGTGTACTTTGTTGTACATGATGAATAGCCAATTGGCTCAACCAGAGGTAATTCAGAGTTCACAGCCTACGTGCTGAGAGTGGTACTTATCCCATCTGTCATAAAAAAGCACAGGGGAATAACTGACTATACAGTTTTTGACAGAGGAGGAATGCATGGTTTCATATGCAGAATGATATAAAAACTTTTATTTATCTATTTTGGCCCTGTGCACTTTTTTCTCTGGCATGCCATACAAGGAAGCAATAAATTAACCAGCTGAAGCCAAAAACAAGGGAATGCAAATGAGGAGAAAATGATGGAAATCTTGGGAGTGTGGAAGAACTTTGGTAACAAATCAAAATTTTTACATGAAGTTGGGCTTGCTTAGGTTGACCAACCCATGCCAAGTGTATGTTTGAGTTGGACGCTGTTGCAGCTAAAAGCAGGCTCTCACCATTACGAATAAATATCATGTGTGCCTTTATTCCCTAACCAGGAGAAGCTGATTAGAGGAACTTATCTCCAAGTAAAAATGTGACATTGTACTCCCTGAAATGATAAATAACTCTAAATTGGCACAAAATACAAACACACCTATTAAAACATTATTCTTTCTCAAAAGGTCAGTGAATAAGTTTAACAACTGAGTGTCAAATAATGCACTCAAATATCTAATATCTCCAACTTCATCATTGTACAGTTGTACAGTTGCCTGTGCGATCCTTTAGCCATGGTTGAATAGGGTCAATAACAAGTCACAGCGAAGGAGAGGCAAGCATTTTTGTGCAGATAAGCCCAGATGCAGTTTGGACGCCAAAGACACATGTTAATGTTGAATGTAAAGAGGACCACACAGATGGACAGAATCAATGCCAGACCTGTACAGGAGAGTCCAGTAAGTAGATGGATTAGCTCTTTATTATTCAGCAGAGAGTTTGGTTAGCTGTGCTTCCTAAGAGGTAAGGCTTATGACGTGTTTTAAGTATAGATTAAAGGGTCAGCTCGAGGTCACTGCCAAATGTGAGAGCCTTACCAAAACTCCCAAGGTGGTTGACCATTTTTGCATTTGAGCATTTGTCGGCGGTCTCGTCCTCTACATAAAACTGTGTCAACACACACACACACACACACACACACACAAAAACTGCCATCGCTTTGATTACAAAAAAAGAAAAGAAAAAGTCTGTCCAAACAATCACACCTCCTCACAAGAATAAAGACAGATTCAGAAAGATCTACATTCACGTTAAGCGCAGAAGTAGTATAAATTACCATTCGGATACTTTCTGCATACTTGGGGCTTACTAACAAAATAAAATTGATAGAGATTGCACACAGAGAAAGTAATTCTGAAGTGACTTTCTTTGAAAAATACACAAGTAATGCTAAAAGAACACCAACGCCACACTGTAATAACAAAATGCTCTAATGGTCATTTACATACTGAGAAATCAACTAACTTCTGTGCTGGTCTTTCAAACAAATTTAACTCCAACGATATGCACGGTATTGCATAACACCTGGTCAACTTACAATTTGCAATGGTATCGTGCAATGACCTAATCATCATTCTCTATAAATATTACAAAAATGGCCGTGCAGCTACATTGCTGAGAAAAACAGAAAAACATGTGACAGAGTATAATATATATGAAATGACTCTTACCTTGAGACAACTCTGGTCTTGGAGCAGCAGGGAGGGGTCGCTGGGACCTAGGTTGACTCGATGGGAGTGCCATCCTGACGGGGCCCACGTACTCGACATACGTCCCTGGGAAGTCGCCTCTCTGTTTGGTGCGCTCGTTGTACCCGAGGAGCCAGCCGAGGCGCTCAGGCTGCTCCACACAGCCCTCCTGGTAGTTCTCCATGGACAGCAGAGAGGCCTTGCAGACGGTCAGAAGGTCTCCAGGCTGAAGATCCAGGTCCTCTTCCTGGTCCTTGGTAAATGCGTAGAGGGCAAGGTACTGAAAACCTTCCGCCGCCATTTTGTTAGGGAGGCAAAAATCAAAATGGCCACCGAAGGATTAGATGGTGCAGCCTGAGTCTCACTGCAACAACAGGGTTCGGCTATACAGAAATTCCTCCTCAGAAACCACAAAGGCTGTTGAGTCACTAAACTCTGGTGTTGGTGTTGGTACGGTGGCTTAGGGGGTCGGGGAGATGAGGGGAGGAGGGGGAGTCACCCGAAGCTTAGAAGCATTTTCAAAAGTCGGTAAGGTCACGTTCTGCTGCTGTTATGTCTGCGGTGGCAGCGGTTTCAGACCTGACCAGTGTTGGTGGACTGGTGCACTTTCCTCAGCTTGATACCTCGGTTGAGCCAGATGATGGAGCAGAGGGAGAGCATTGGCAACATGCTCTTTCAAGCAGCGAAAACCTGCTGGCTGGGTGCTATTGGAGCAGCCTGGTAAAAGATTTCGCCAGTCGAGGGGTCTGCGTCGTTGGCTCCCCACGGTCAAATAAGTGATGTGATTGGAGGACGAGCAGCAGAGTGGGAAGGTCTTTAATCCTCTTCGGTTCTCTCAGGCTCCCACATGTTCTGGACAGGGATTATGATGACCTGCATGACATAAAAAAACCCAAAAAATGATGAAAGAGGAAAAAAAGATTTGAAATTAGTCACAAAAACGAAAACTACAATAATGAAAAATAAAAATCAATCGTCTACAAGTGTCGTTTCTGTTTGATAAATAGACGTAAGTAAAGCGGCACATATCTATGTGAAACGAAGCTCAAAGCGCTGCATGAAAATGGCGAACTGCGGCAGCTCCATGCATTTGTGTCTTCGGTTAGAACAGAGAGATCGGATGATGCTGCTGCGTCATGACCAACAGCAGACTGGGTCCCTGGACAGGAGCCTCCATTCCCTCCACTCTACATTCACACACTCACAGCCTTAACTGATGCATCACAGTTTCCACAGGAACAAGAAGTTTCACTGTGAAATAAACGTCCCTTCAACTCACACGACATGTGCGATTAGCAGGATCCGAAAGAAATTCATGCAAAATGGCGAAGAAAACATTTTCGCAGAAGCATGCAAAGGAAACTAAGAACTACACCACGGCTGTAGGGCAACCAGAATTTTTTGAAACACGCAGAACCCTTTGCAACAGTTCCCTCTCCATAGGAGAGAAAAAAGGCAGCTCTGTGTTGCCTCAGAAATATTTTCGGCTTCATTCTGTCAAAATAGGTAAATCATACTGTACCAAGCCTGTTCCAGAGGAGAATATCGAATGGACAGTCAACTGAGCAACCGAAGCCTGACACAATATCAAAAAATACCACTTACAAGCAAATGTTCCCATGTATAATATCACACTCCTTGCAGTGAATCGCATCATAGTGTCTTTATATAGCAAAAAGGTCATTCATGAACCCATAACAAATATTCTCTGAAAAAGATGATTGCAAGGCCCAATAAAATGCCAAGCACGAGTAGGCAATTATTACCGTATAACAGCAACATAACCGCTTCAAAAGGCTGGATTTTATCAGAATGAAATGTTATAGTAAACCAAATTAATCAAATCCATCAGACACTCAATTTGATAAAAGTAGAATTCTTAATTTCTGGGGGTTGAAAACACTAGATTATAATGTCCACAGCAAAATATAGAAAAATCATGTCTCTGTTTTTAGCCATTTGAGATGTGAGCGGGTCAATAAAAATAAAAATGCTACGAAGTTCAAATTCAAAATGGTAACTATTCTGAGAGATGAGACAGGGAGCGAGGAAGAGGGAGAGATTAGGGATTCCAGATTAAGTACGACATCTGTGGTCTGTGGACCAACCAAGGACAATGGTCCTGTTAACCTCTCTGGACGGGATGAAAGGATGTCAGCGAGGAGACGAAGCAGGTAGAGAGGGAGGGTGAAAGGGACAGGAAGGTGGATGGAAGTTTTGGTCTTGTATGCCAGGAGTAGGGAGCTATTTGGGGCAAATTCCTAAAACGTCCAAATCCAAATAACCATAGGCCTGGCTTGCGAGGCCCGATGTTGTGCAATCATTTCATAAACGTTCCTGAATGGACAATGTTTTGAGTGATGCATTGCAGACGCTTAAATAAAACTAGGTGAGAACATAAAAAAATAAACCTAAACCTTCGCTTTGCATCTTTGAATGCCAAAGTGCATGCTTTCGAATCTTCGTCTAGATTATCTCTCTTCCCCCACAACATTCGGAAAGCGAACGTACATTCACTGCAAACCTTTGTGAGTAAGAATATCATCTTTTTAAAGAGTTATCGTGATAACAGGATGCAGCAGAGTGCAACACTCACCCCACTTTTGGTTCAGAGAGAAGCCGGACAGGCTCAGCCAGACTCTCGGTCCAACATCCATCGAGTCGAGAAGCAAGAGGTGCCAGGCTAGACACGTGGCACTGGCATACCCAACCACAGCCCGCAATCCTCACACCACCATAACCCCCCCAACCCTAACAACCCCCCCCGCTCCTCTCTCCACCTGCTCTTCACCCCCCCCCAACACACACAGAGTCTTGCCTCCAACTGACACCCCCCCCCCCAATCCTCAGCCAGCGAAAAAGTCCAGTCGTTTTTCCAGTTGCCATGTTTTATTTGTTTATAGTCAGAGCGCCGCTGCAGGAAAGAAAAAACGAGATGAAGACCAAGTGAAAGAAAAAGCAGTGCGTAGGGAGCGCTCTCATTCAGTAGTCCTTTTTTATTATTTAGTTCCAGAGCAGAAAAAGTCGTGCGAGGTGAGAGAAGAGTCATCTCTGTTACAGTCCTGGTCTGATAGTGTTGTAGTAGCTCACAGTTCAGGGCAGCAGCAGCAGCTGGCAAGCTCAGCGTCACTGGATCCATCCGTTTTTTAAGACTTTTTATTCAGTCAGAGCAGAGAGCGACAGAAAGCAGTGAAAAAACAGAGTGAGACTGAGAGACGGAGCACTTTGCTATCAGCCCAGTCCAAACAGCTGAGGGAGACCACAGGAAAATAATTAATGAATAGGCAGCAAGTAACTCACTGTTGCTAGAGAGAGGGAAAGCTGATCCTGCGCTCTGATTGGCTGCTGCTCTGGCCATGTGCTCACCAGTCACCAGAGAAGCCGGGCAAATCAAGGAAATGTTCTAATATTAGAAAATGTATCTAGGCAGTGATCAAACATCTGACCCAAACAACTCCACCTTTTCCCACACACTTGATTTTTTTCATCTTTCCAACCTTGATGGTTGCTCATCATCTCTGATGACACAATGATTTAAAGCAAATGAAACTGCCACAGGATAAAGATGTAAAACATAACATGGAAACACTGAAGGCTGCGTGTGATTGGAGAGAATTCCATGAGTCATGTTGAAGTCGTGCAATGAGACAAAATAGGATGATTTTTGTTTTTCTCAGCTAACAGGGAGATAAATGTGATGATTATATGCAGAAAAACAGGGAAAAATACATTCTGGCCTTTATAAAACAGGAACTCAGTGAGAAACTATGACAGAATTCACTCAAAAGTGCTGCTGTACTAGTTAAGTTATACAATATTTGGTAAACAACTGTGCATTACAACATAACACAGTAAGACAATAGTCTTCTGATTTTCTATGGTATTTATTTCCCACACATGGACATTGTGCTTAACTGCAGGGGGAAAGCGAGACCTAGATTGAACTCAAAATGGCATCTAGATTTTCCTCTGCTGTCTGCAAACATCAAATGACTCTTGATGTGTTTAGTCAGCCAGTGGAGCTCTGACCTGTTCATTATACACCAGTATGCATAATGTAAAATGGCAAATAAGCTATTCAGAGCATCACTAACACAGTCGAGTGAAAGAAAAGAGCAACTGACATTGACATTACAATAAATATCTTTGGGTTTTGGACTGTTGGTCAGAAAAACAAAACATTGCAGGACGTCACCTCGGACACCTCAGATTAATTTTGACAATAACTGGCCGTTAAAGCGATTTTCAGAGACAAACAGTTTGTTGTGGCCCTTCACTGTTTATATTATGTGTATCAGTGTTTCTCAAACTTCTTACACAGCTTACCACCTCAGAAAATATTAGGCTCTTCAAGTTCCTATGACCGACGTTAAAGTACAGTAGCGTAGGCCGACCCTGTTCATCTACGGAAAAATCTTGCAGGAAGCAGTTTTATTCCTAATTAGAAGATTATTTATAGGTGACTGTTGTTGAATCCTGAACGGATCCATATCTAATTTGGAGGAGAAGGGGTACTCCTGGTCCACACTTCTCTTCCCAATAGTTCCTGTTTGGAGCCATGATTGCAGTGTTTTTACACTGTTCATTCTACCTCCACTCACTATCTTGCCATTATATTTAAACTCGTAACTAATCATGCATGTATGTGTGCACTGTGTATATGAACGTGACTACACAGTAGGCTGATACTAAAAACAAAATATTACACGGAAGGCAAAACTTTTTTAATATTACATTTAAACGATCACATAGTTTAAGTATTTTCATTAGAAACTTTTTCAAGTATTTTGATAATATTGTAGGTTTTTTAATTAATATATTTAATTTTTTTTAAATTCAGAGATTCCTCTGTGTACTAGAGGCAGACCACAGTTTGTGAACCAGTGATGTATGTGCATTTAAAATACCTTCCAGATCAAGTTACTTCATCATGATGTTCATGCAAAACTCATAAAAATCAAGATACTGTCATTAAGAAGAACAATCTTGATAAGGATCCCTTAGATTTTTCTCGTTATTGTGACTGTTTACAGTGTAAATATGAACTCATCACTGCTCTCTGGCACAACTTGAAATATTCTTTTTTCCTCAATGTCGCACAACTAACTGTTGCAGACAGAACAACTATTTTCCCAAACTGAAGTTGTTTATCATTCCACATATTCAATATAGTTTATTAACTTTGTTTCAGTAGCTTGCATCACTTCATTGACTCACTGTGGTCCGACTAGTTGTTCCCTTCACTTCATAAAATTGAAATCAGCCTAGATGATTACAAAGAGCAGCACGCTCAGCCAATATTAAGCCAATATCACCGGATGTATTGTCCGAGCCAATTCATCTGGCTAGCTCTCTATATTATATTAAATGACCTACATAAAAACATACCTGAATTATCGATGCAATTAATTTCTCTAGAAATAAGTCAATCTATCAACCAGCTATCATCAACCAAAACAGATGAACAGTTTTCTATGTAGACGTGAGGGTGTTGAACATCTTCTTTCACTTTTCAACCCACCACACCATAAATCATGACTTCCTTGTTTATTTGTCAACAGTCACATCTATGTAGGTCAATTGTGAAATCATATTTTTACCATATCTTCAAAAGTCTGAAAGCTAACATGCTTTGGCGAATCCAATCCAAATATCAGCAGCAGTTCCCCCCACAGCTGTGACCATTTTCAAAAAAGAGCTAATAGGTTCATGAGTTTAAGAATGTAGACTCAGCTTGTACACTTTTAATAAAAAGATACAACTGACTAAACGTCTCAGTCCTTAAATGACTTTCACTGAGACAAATAAATGCACTGAACAAAACTCATTTACTATGGAGACACAGTTAATGCTCTAAAGTTTGTGTATGTGTTGGCCCTTTACGGCCCTGCTGGTGAGGAGTTGACTACAGAGCCACCACGCATGCAGCCTGGCCTCGGGCCATCTGTCCACATGGAACTGAAAAATCTACTGCGCCACAGGCAGGGAGGACAAGCCAACAACACAGGAGCTTGTGAGGACTTATTTTTCAGCCTAAAATGGGGGCTTAGGCATTTTATGATTCAAGTTATGTTCACCTGAACTCTATCTGTCCTTAATGAAGCTGAAAAGCTCACTTCGCTAAATAGAAACATCTGCTACGAAAGATTATGTAGCACTGAGACAGCACTGTTCTGAAAAGTTAAATATACCACAAGGCCTTAAAGAGGACTCGCTGTATTTATCAGGAGATACAAGATGCAGGCAATTCAATGCCTCAGCTGGTCGAAAATGGCTCCTTAAGTCCACGCGACCATGTTGTTTAACATTTTGACGACAACAAAGAAAGAAAATCTGATAAACCTGGAGAGTCTGCACCAGTTGGAAATACCACAAGCCTGTTTGCTGCGTAGTTTGTGTGTAATGGTGGTTAACAAGCCAAATACTTGGTTATTTCACCAAGATAACAGCATTTCTCTTGGTTATTAATATGTATACATACATTTATCCCTAACAAGACACATATAAATGCATTAAACTATACCATAACTAACTATTTTGCAGCTAACATACAGTGGCCTCCATTATAAACACACAGCAATGACAAAGCTAATCAAATACTAATCCCATTGTGACAGAGAGATTAATGACTACCCGGTTTTACATGAAGTCAGTCAAATTAAGTGGCACCTACGTCAAAACAACGTCTATCACCTGATATCATTAATACTATAAAAATGTTTTATTATCGGAATACTATTTCTGGATCGTAGGGAAAAATGGTCAATAAGTGAGCTGTTCCCAACTCCTGTCAGCAATCGGTCACATCCAGGACGGAGGGTCTTCCAAAAAGTGCATTACAAATGACCAACTAGATTTGTACTCAGTGTTTTGTGCCCATAGAGTCCAACAAGGCTCATTTATGTCTTCCAACAGTTCAAAAAAACATACTTATGTGAACCATTAGATGTTTAGATTATCTTGGGTACGAGTCCCAACTGAGTCTGCAGCATTTCCAGTGCAGCTACGTCTAAAGACTGTCCTTAAAGCTACATTCTGTTGCTATTTTGATCAAATAACACCATTTCAGTTTAACTGGGTCCCCCAGCTGAAGGACACATAACAAAAATAACCACAGCTGTACTGTGTCTGCAGGAACTTGAAGTTAGCTTACGTTTTATTCAGCCCTGAGAAGTGACACTTGGCATTTGGAGAAGCTGCACTTCATTTGGAAGTTTTTAACGAAACAAGTCCTGCGAGTCATTTGGAGCATTTGGAGACATTTAGAAGAAGAATGAAGGCTTTGCCACAAGTCATGCTTCACATTGAAAGAGCAGTGTAATGGAGGATTGACATTTGGTTGCATAATGCTGGATTCAGTAATTATAACAGAATGGAGGGGGGGGGTCGCCACACAGTTGAGTGGCTTGTCTTATTATGCAAGTGGCACAATTTCCACTAACTCCTTGATGCATGCCAAATCCGCAAACCAGGGATGTAACACACACACACATCATGTCAGGCCTTCAGCTATGTTGGGCCTCCACACTGCATGGCCCCATATAGTGTGCAGTCAATGTAAAGCCACTGTTATACTGTGTATACTGCCACTGCTGTACGCTGGAAAATCTGACTTATTTGTTATGTTTCAGTCCTGCAGTACAACTTTTTTCAATCTTACCCAACATCTAAAAACACTTCATTTTTTAGTATTGAGCTTTAAAAAAAAAAAAAAACACACACACAACAACTCTGAACTCGGAGGCATAAATTAAGTTTAAAAGTCACCCTCGCTATAACCTCAGAGCTTATCAAGAATGAACATTATAATAATTTAAGTGTAAAGCAACTTTAACTAACTTAACGGGCTCAGCATTTTATAGACGTCAACTGTCGACCAGCGCGAGCAGCGAGCAACGTGCTGCAAGAATAAATGTAACAACATGTACTGCGCCAAAAAAATAATAAATAAAAACAAATACAATAAACACGTTAAAAGTCTTGTGTTGAAACTTTACAACTAGTACACAAGTCAAGTTGCGTGCGCTGAGCACACTTGCAGCGCTTCCACCATTTTCCAGTACAGTGGTTGGCTGCTGCCTTGCTGTACTGGAAATGTGCAATAACTTAGGGGGAAAAAAAAACTCACCCGCGGATATTTCTTGACTCTTCTCACTTTTGGCTGCGTCGCTTTAACACTTCAGGGTGTCAGACAGAGTCCGCGTAGAGCCGTATGTGCGGACGACGGTTTTCTAGAGGTGCACTAAACTTCTAGCAAACCCGCTGTTCACTTATTGCTTCGCCTTCTTTCTCTCGCTCTTTCTTTCTTTTCCCGTTCATGACTCCCTGCTCCCCTACACAGCCATTTTCCAGCTCAGCACGGCGCAGGGAGGGAGAGTGCGTGGGAACTAATATCAAGAGAGCGGAAAGTGACGAAGCCGAGCGGAAAAGTCCGAACGATTAGTGAGGGGTCACCGAATGGCCTCGGCCCATAATGGAAATTTGAACCTGACAATCTTAAGCTGCGAGGCTGCACCCCCTTATACTTTAAGCTCTCTTTTATTGCAAAGACTCCTGTATATATGAAAAAAGGAAAAATTGTTCAACCACATGTTAAATCCGTGTCTGATCCCGTGTTGGGTTACATAGGGACATCTTATATTGCGCTTCATATAAGATTTCTCCAGTTCAACTACTGGTTTAGATTGAATATGGATAAGTAGTATAAGTGAGAACTGTAAAGGACAAATTCTGGATCATATCTGCGTACTTTATTCAAAATACTTATCACATCTGGTGTATTGTTACTACATTAATTAATTATTAATATAGTATTTGTGTTGATTGAGTGTAGAGTACTTGACCACCACAACACTAATGATTACGATGGCTTATGGTGCCACAAACTTTATAAATTAAATAAATAAATAAATAAATAAATAAATAAAACATATTATTGTATGGAGGGACAGATGACAAATACACCAGCTTTGTATTCTGGACTTTGTAGTCCCTTTGCAATTCATTTATTTCAAGCACTGTTAAGACAATAAAAAAAAAAAAAAACAGACAATGTCACACCGGTCTGCATCAGATACCCACATTGTAGGAATTTCACAAAGGCCAGTTTGGGGACGATCGGGGAGCAACGACTTTAACACACACTAAAACAAGTGTGGAGAATATGGAGAATGACGGTTGAGCAACAGTTTTATCACACACACACACACACAAAACACAGATGAAAAGAGTTGTGATGCTTCATTTTGATGTGTGATGCCCAAACTGTTGTTATGGATGGACTGCTGCTGAGAGCTTCACAAAAAGAACTTGATTTTAAAAAGCATAACATGATGATACAACTTAAGGGTCAAGAGATACTATGACAGTTTGGTAGGGGTACAAAATAACGTGATCAAATCCTAACATACCAAGATGTATATTGCATCAGATATTCAGTGACAAATCCTACACAGACACAGTTTTTCCCCCCACAATACAATAAACACACTTCTAATTTCTAATTTGAACGGCCACTATAACCACTGTGCAAGGCTTAGTATGTGTTAAACTTCCGCTATAAATTCCCAAATGAATAATTCCCTTCGCTCCGCAAAACACAAATGTGCGCCTTCATAAAACTAAGAACACAGGCACAAAATTGTCTTCTGTGCAGCGAATTAATCTGAAATAAGACTGTAAGCATTTTTGGTTGCCGATCCAAACAGTTTCTGAAAAAAAAACAACAAAAAAAGCTCAGAAACGGGAACAAAAATAATAGAAATGAAAAAATACATTGCTGAAAACCAAATCCCATATGTTCACATCTCCTAACAAAACACTAATTTTAAAGCTCAAATCAGTGACTGAAAATCATCATTAGGAATTCAATGAGATTAATAACTTCCAAGAGCTTAAAAAAATGTAAACATGTTGTAAGATTGTGGGAATATACTGGGATGTGAAGCATGCACAATCCTTTGAGGCTGATCGCAACATGAGATCAAGACCCTGCCACATAAGTGACATTACACAATGAGTCCATCTACCCTTACAAGGTCACTTTCAAAAAAACACCACCGACAGCTGTTATAAAGGTCCACCATTGTTTATACAATATACATCAACAGCATAGGCTATTAGTACTGCAACAAGACTGTTTCCATATCAAAATGTACAAAAAGAAATCACCTCTACTCGTTCCTTCATCCGCTCAGGGCCTCTGGTTGTATTCCATCATTAACTTTTTTCGTAATAATTTAACAAAACCATGACCACACGCACACACATTTGCACTAAAATGTAAACATTCGTTCATAACACACATTAAAAAAAAAAAAAAAAAAAAACAGCCAAGGGAGCCAGTTTTGTTTGTTGCATCCACTGTACAATTTTTGAATCCCACAGAGAAGGAGATCGTCCTGAAATATAAATGTGCTCTAACTGTTATACGGCTACTACAACTTGTGCAAACACTTCAGCTAGACTAGGTTTGTAAGGAACTGGACGGAGGCTTGATTCAACAAGGTATTAGAAGACAGAGACAACGGTTTTATCTACACACCTGTATGTTGATCAGGTTATTATTCAAACCACTGTTTGAGGAGTGTCAGCACTGACACGCTTTTTTTAAGACAGCCAGCAAGTGGAAGTAGAGCCCATGCATGCATGAAGCTTCTTATGTACAACTACAGTACCTCTTTTTTAAAATGGTTCCTATGGCTAAACCATGCTTTGGCACCACAGTTAGGCTTCCAAATATTGAGATGTTGATATTTTTAGTAAAAATGTTTAGACAAGGCCTGTTCTGGATTGATGACTCCAAATGGTGCCCACCACAATCTGTATGATACATTTCTTCCGAGAGGCAGCACAGAATATCTTCCGCAATTGTATAATACATTATATATTGCAGGACAAACACTGTATGTTTGTTTCAAAGATCCAAACTGAACATGAAACAACACCTAGTTCTAGACAGGCATTGAGGTATAAAATAAAGGTACGATATCAACTGATGTTACCTGCCCTTTTCTGCACCTTCTGTAAAACCACACTGAGAAGTTGTGTGTGGCTTTTCTTTTGTGCAATTCCTGAACTAAGAACAGCTGAAGCGTCAAAAGGCATTTTCAGCAACCAAAAAAAAACAAAACAAAAAAACAACCCAAGATGAGCATAAAAAGTCATAAATAAGTTTCTTCATTTAAAACAAAAACATATGTACAAAACACATCAGTTACAGGTGCCACAGTGATTTGAAAACCAAGAGAGAAAACAAGCAACTAGGAAGTAAACATAGTTTGGCAGTCATTATTCCGTTAACAGTGTTGCAGGATGCATATATTACTGAGAAACATTGGTGTTAATTTGCGCTTTTGTCTTCACACAGTTGCTTGTGTTGATTTGGGACTTGGTCACAGTTTTCTGGACACACATGCAAGGCTTTCAAATGTAAGTAGAGTAGCAGGTCAAAGACTTATCTTCACCTTTCAGTCTCTTCCAGAGTGAGACTCTCTGTTGACCTTCCCTGGCAAAGAGACACAACTAAAACCCTTCTTTGTCTTTTGACTTGGCTTTCTGCTGTGTTGTTGTACCCTGTGATCCTCTTCCTTCCAGCTTCACACTAGATTCTGATTGGGCTGAGTTGATCCAGGATGCCTTGAATGCCTTCGGCTGCGTGACCGGAAGCGTTGGGCTCGGCGTCGCCTCCCTCTCCTCCAAGTCATCGAAGCTCACTTCCTGCACGGCTTCCTGTTTCTTGAAGGAGTCCCTTCGCTCCGACAGAGCCAACTTCCTCATCACCACCACCTCTTTGGAGTGGTGGTTGCTGCTGCGGTGTTGTGGTGAGGTGGTAGAGCGGTGGTGCTCGCTGCCCCCACTGGCTGTGTCCTGGTGGCCTCTCTGCCCTCCTATGTACAGCCCCTGACGGCCGTGCTCACCCACACAGACAAACCCGGTGGCAGTGTCCCCCTCCATGTCCTCCAGCCCCTCCCCCTCAGACAGAGGCACCTCCATGGTGTGGCGGCGGGTGCTGTAGGCCTTCCTATCACCATGGTAACCCCCCGTCGTCTTGTCTCCTGTCAGCTTCTCTGCCGACTGGACCCTCTTCAAGAGTGGTGAGCGTGGTGGTTCTGCACTGCGGGGACGCACAGAATGGCGGGCGATAGTGGGAGGGGACAATGTCTTGCCATGGAAACCCTGTAGGGACTTTGGGTGACTGGGGAGGCAGGATGGAGAGCACTGTGGAGAGAGGGGCTGAGGAGGTGGGATACAGGCCAGCGGTGAAGGAGGGATACTGCTGGTGGACTTGCAGCGGCCAGCTTTGGTGTAGCGACCCAACACATGTAGAGAACTTGGACGGGCCTGTGGTACAGGCGAGTTAGGGGAGCTGGAGCAAGGAGAAGAACTTGAGTCTGACAGAAAGAGGAAGAAATAAAACAGTTAACCATTGGTAGATTTTTACCAACACATAACATAAAAAATATAAGACACAAAAAGATCAACAGCTCAATTTTTGGGATGAAAGGGATGCATGGCTTCCTCACTCACCTCCGGAGTGGTCAGGGGCGGGGGAACGACAAGGCGTAGAAGGCCCAGGAGAGAGACTCTGCGTGGGAGAGCCGGAGAGGCTGTCGCTAGATGACTGGTGGAAACCTGAGGAGAAGCTACGACTGCTCTGCATGGGTGGAGGAGGCGTATGCTTAGATAGCTTCTTCAAGATGCTACGCCGTCGGCTGCAAAGGGGGTGAGAGGTCAGATGTGTGTTTTGTCTATAATACTGTTCTTAGCTTGAACGTTTTTCATGCTGACTTGAGTAAAGACTCTCAGTGAGACAACAAACTACAATCCATTTAAGTTAATTACTAGATTTTGATCAAAGTCTCGTTCATCATATTTCAGATTTTAGTCCAATGTATCTAATACTAAGCTTCAGACAGTAGTTTCAAATGTCATACAGTAATGCTGGGTATGTGAATGGGTATGACTTCTCCCCTCGTGTACCTGTCCTGTCCGTCCTTCCTCTTGCTCTTCTTGCTGCGCCGGGCCATCTTGGCCTTGTAGCTCACCTTTCTGGCAGGGCCCACCTTAATAGAGGTGTTCTCCAGTGCAGTAGTCTGCAAGGTCACCCTGTTGCCACTCTGTTGAAAACAGATCATTATCATAAACACCCCTGTGTAACACATTCATTCAGTCTCTCTCTCTCTCAGTAGAAATTATATGTCATTACTTACAGAAAGTATGTTTGTTTGAGAAATACTCAAATGCTGTACATTTACACTTTTTTGTACATACAACACATCACAATCATCATTGTGATCATCCAAATATAGAAAGTGTGCAAATTCAAGTTATCCTTTTACCTTGAGAAGGAGCTCTACAACCTCAGTGTGGACGAGTCCCTGGACAGACTCCCCGTTGACATGAGTGATGAGGTCACCAGCCCTCAATCCTGCCTCATGTGCTGGACTGCCTTCCTCCACACACTGTGGACACAAACACACACAACCTCTGATGAAAATTACTGGTCAAGCAACCATCTAACCATGACTGACGATGGTTATTACAACTAATGTTTTCAGTATGCATATGTATGCACAGCAATAAAGTCAAAATGCAAATACAAAATCTATAAAATACAGAGATTTCTGTCTTATTTCTTTTTATTGAGATTTTGCCATGCTGACACTCATGTGCTGTTATACTGACTTTTAGGATCACCTAAAACAAAATCTGAAGACCATGAAAATTGTTTAAATATAAATATGTGTTTGTTTAACAATTACACTCTAAATTTGATTTGAATATACTGAATTTTTCATACATGATTAACCCCACTAGCCACACATGAGATTAGGACACGTACCCAGACCATGTGGTGAACAGTGTAGACGTCACTGTCTCCCATGTAGACTCTGATAGCCCGCAGAGCAAAGCCAAACCTCTTCCCAGAGCTGTGGATGACCACAGGAGGCCTGAGGCAGCTGATGCTGACAGAGAGGTCCCGGCTGGGGGACGAGTCTCTGGATGAGGGGTTGGACGACAGGGACAAGGACGATTTGGGGCTCGTAGGAGGACATGCTGAGTCATCTGGATCGAGAGGAGAAGATGTTTAGGAAGGGTTATGAATAGTTTACGTACACATTCTTACATGTTGCACCATTCAGTATTTGATCAAACTACCACAATAATGATTCTTAACAAGGTTATTTTACTAATTCTCTGGCCAAAATAAGACTTCACTTGACTTATTATGATGTTTTTCTATTTTAATTCTTGTCCTCAGTATTAGTGTATATTTATTGTGTAAGTTACACAGCATCTGGCTGTAGAGGGCACTATAAACACGTGAATAGTCTTAGCAAATATAGACAGATGACAGTCGTGCCTTTAAAAAACATGATTATGGATGGAATTTGAGCAAGAAACTGAATTTCAATGGAGGCTAGGGTAAGTGACAAAAAATGTTCACATTTTGGTGACATTTCAAAGAAGTCATCACCGTCCTGTCTACCTGGGGTAATGATGAGGGACAGGCCAGAGACAGAGGCAGACTTGGGGACTTTCCCAGCTGGGGATCTGGGTTTCTCTGGGGTCTCTAGCTGGTGGGCGATGCGTCTGGACGCCCCTCTTCGGAAGGACGGCCTGGTGCCTGTGCTGTTGCTCCGGAGCCGAATGCGTCGCAGGTTGGAAACCATCCCGTCTAGAATTAGGAGGTACGGAGTGTAATCACTGTTGTTTCATAATTGCAAAATAACAGGAGAAGAGAAGGGGCAGAGGTCTGTGTTTGTTGGTCTTACCTTCCTCCTCGGCAGAGATAGCAAAGCGAGGCATGATGTCGAGGCTCTGGGTGCTGTTCATCACCAGTGGGCTGGTGCTGCGCTCTGACTGGGAGGAGCTGGATGAAGCACGAGGACGTAGACTGTGAAACAGAATTTAAAAAGTCCAGATTTGACCAAAATTTGTTTTAGTTTGTATTGTGTTTGCATATGTACAGGTGAATGAGCTCTGGTATATTTATCTTGACCTGTAGTTACTTGGTTACAGAGAATTTTTATAATAAAATACTGATTTTATCTCCTAAAACAATTTTGTCAGTAGAGGTCTGGTCAGTCCTTTATGGCATAACAGTTAACTCTATTCAGGTTCATAGGGGACCTGGAGCCTTTCCCAGTATGCAGTGAATGGAAAGCAGGAAACCTGACACTGCCATTCACACCCAAGAGCAATGTGAAGCCTCCACCTGACATTCAACTCAGGAGGAGGCTTTCGCATTGCTGCAGCATACTGAGAAACAACCCATATCAACACATATATAAAGTATATAGAAAGGTTCAAACCTGGGTGAAGTTAAAGTGTTAACCATTTTGACTTATGATACATAGTATTGTCCCAAAAACACAATCTTCAATAAACAAGTGCTTCTGAATATTCCACTTCCTTCTCACGTTTTTCATTAAATTTAAAGCTAACAAGGCAAGAATGAGGGCTGGCTGTAATTCCTTTCCTCTCAGAGAAAGGAGATATCTCTCTCACGTTTCATGCTCTCACCTCCCCCTGTGTCCATCTGCCCTCCTGTCTCCACCAGCCAAGTGTCTGAATCCATCGCCAGGGGAGAGGACTCCCCTGCCCTCCCACCTCTCCTCCTTCTCCTCACTGTGGCTTCGCTCGGATGACGACAGGCTCTGGTTGGACGGCGTGGAGGTGGACAGGTGCTCTGTGCTGCTGTACACCTAGAGTTTAACAAGAAAATTGGTTACATAGATGTTTTAACAAAATATCTGGAGGACTGTTTTCTCAGAGGTCACACCAGGGTTTTATTCAAAGTGTCATTAGATATATATTTTAATAGTGTGGCACATATTAAGTGAAAGGTAATAAGCAGAGCAGTAACAAGCACCTTGCTGAAGCGGTGGGCCACAGAGGAGAACTGTCGGAGCTCCCGAGATGATTCATCATCATTGGTTTCATCATCGTCATCTGAGCCCAGGTGACAGTAGCGCTCTGATCGGGCTACAGGAAACACAATGACAGTGCATTAAATATTGAAAAACTGATGACACCGTTTTATCCTAATTGAAAGTACCATCAGAGATTACTATGAAATCATCATCAACATTCTGACTTATTCTCATAGTAGTGTGTCCTCCTGTGTTCTTAACAAAGGTCTAGGTTTGTCAGTGTGCATGCAGAGTCCATACTAGATCATTAAAAGGCACTGAGTGTGTATATCCATCCACAAATCTAGCTGGTCTGACACGTACTGTCAAAGTAACTGGTGTCATCGTCAGTCTCGAGTTGCGGTATGAATTCAGCTTTCTGCCTCAGGAGGCCGTTCCAGTCCAGACCCAGGAAGAACGTGTGCATCTTCACCTCAGAGGTTCCACCTGGAGAAAAAAAAAACTAATTAGGCAAACAGGTTTGTCATATTGAGGCTGGTTTACAGCTACTGCTCGGCCAATTTGTCAACAGTGTCTCTTTTGATACCCTAATATCTCCCTTCTTCTTGTAAAATGACAAGATGGCTGTCCTCTCATGAGCTTTAGCCTGTCTCTTCATCTCTTCCCGTCTAGACAACAATTTGATCAGCTAAGGCTTGTTATTATTGCTCTGCCTCACTCCAAATGTTGCCTGATCAACCCTTACGATAACTTTGATGTTAACATAAAAATGCATATTTCTATCAGTCTAACAATTTCTATCAAATAAAGCCATAAAGATGTCTGAGTGCTGAGATGTGGACTTTAAAAAGGTGAAAGAGCAACTATAAATATTTTCTAAACATTTCTCCACATCAGACTATGGAACTGAATATGCTATACTCAGGGGGCCTTATCCACCCATTTGTCATCTGTCACACCGCCACTGACCTGTTCCTAGACGCTCCAGAGGGCTCTGTCTCAGCAGCCTGGTGATAAGGTCCTGGGCATCAGCTGGCAGAGCGTCCTCTCCTTCTGGCCAAATGATGTCATCTAGACAAAGAGGCACATTCCAGTGAACCAATGAAGGCATTCAAATTTATCTACACAGCCCAAGTGTAAGAGACTGTGCAAGTGCAAAATTACACAGAAGAATTACGTAAACCTGAGGTAATGACCAATAACCCAAGACTAAAATAGTACAATTCATTTAGACTTGATAACAATCCAGTAAACTAACGGATGTCTTACCGTTGACCACCTGACCAAAGAGCTGTTCTGGTGTGTCTCCAAAGAAAGGAACACAGCCCACTAAGAACTCATAAAGGATGATGCCCATAGCCCACCAGTCCACTGGCTTCCCATAGCCCTGCCTCAAGATCACCTCAGGTGCAATGTACTCTGGAGTACCACACACCTGTAGAGAGGAAAAACAGACAAAGATGCAAAGATTGACATTAGTTAAGGTAATGAACTCAACAGAGGGGATGAAGAGAAGACGGGTTGAGAAGAGGCGAACCTGTTTGTCGATGAACTCTCTGGTATCCTTTTCAATATGTCCTTCATACAAGTTGGTGGTCATGTTCATTAGACCAATCTTTGACAGCCCAAAGTCTGTCAGCTTAATGTGTCCCATGGAGGTGATTAACAAACTACAGAAGAAGGAAACACAGAAATGTTTCATGTTACATCAAATGCTTAGCCCAAAACATTAGATCTCAAACTCAGTTGAAAAATATCAAAGGCTGAACATTTCAGAAAATTCTGTTCCAACATCAAAAAGATTGCCAGTCTTTTAAAGATTGTGGCAAGTCAAAAAAATGATGAAAGCTTTAAAGTAATTAGGTTCTGCCTGAAAGATGAAAAAAAAAACTGAAATGAGGACTCACTTATCAGGTTTGAGGTCTCTGTGTACAATGCCATAGTTGTGAAGGTACTCTAAAGCCAGGACTGTCTCTGCGAAATACATCCGTGCCATGTCCACAGGCAAAGGACCAATGTTCTTCAATAGGTTGGCACAATCTCCACCTTAAAGCGCAAACACAGTCAGATGCATGTGATAATGTGTCTTTTGTGTTTACAGTGGGTGGGCATAAAATAACGTTTTGAGTGCTATATTACAGGCAAATAAACAATTAATAAAAAGGCATATCAGATTATGCATGCACAATTTCAACCAACCTTACCTTCCACATACTCCATGACCATGCAGAGGTGCCTCCGCGTCTCAAAAGAGCAAAACATAGAAACAACAAATGGGTTTTCAGCAAATGTGAGGATGTCTCGCTCCACAAACACCTGCTGGATTTGGTTCCTAAGGATCAGATTCTGCCTGTTGATCTTTTTCATGGCAAAACGTTGACGGGTCTCCTTGTGGCGCACCAGAAATACAGCCCTGCATGACAGGAGAGAGAAAGAAGAGAAAGAAGAAAAATTACAGCACAAAAAAGGGATGGATTTATAAGGGATTGACAGGAGATATATTAAGAGATTTCACAAGGAAAAGAGTTGGGAAAAAGACGAGGAATCATACACATCACTTACTAGTGAACTTCAGTTCAGACTTGAAATGAAATTATCCAGACAAATTCTAAGTGTAAACACAAAAATACTACAACAACACTTCCTCAATTTAGTTTCTCTTCTGCTTTTATTGGGCTCTGTGGTGTCCACAAAGAGACTGAGTCAGTCGAACGCAAACAAAGAAGCCTGTCTTACTCACCCATAGGCGCCATTGCTAATGAGCTTGATAGTCTCAAAGTCGCTCTCCAGCGGTTTCCTACGAGGAGGGGTGCAGGCTGCTCGGCTCTGAATCACACACATGCAAAAAGGAGAAACAAAATAACAGGATTTAGAAGCTGCATTACTTCTGCAAAGCAGGAATCCATGCACTTCATGACTTTACTCTGATAATATGAAGTTTTTCTGTGTATCTGTATTCACCACTTAAACTGGGTCTATCTAAACAACCACTTCTATGTTGTTTAGCTCTACATTAAGATGTTTCATTTCTCTTCAGTACAGCTGCCATCGCCTTTCACAATACTTCCACCATCACTGTTTATTCTGTCAAACAGAGTCACATTGTAAGTCAATATAACTACTTTAGAACAGTTTGACGTAAGCTTATACCTGTGTGGGTGTTGCGTCTCCAGTGTCATCAGAGTCTCTGCTGGACGACCTGTGACTCGGACTCGTCTGCTCCAGATGGACCATCTCTGTAACAGCAGCAGACACACAGATCAAACTCTATTCAGCTCAAATAAACACCAATGAGGACAGTGGGAGCTTATTCAACTGTTTGCAATGATACTAACTGCCTAATGATGCTAAACTAAATTACAACTGTCAATGTATCCAAAGCATATATAAGTGTTTTTGTTATAATTATTTTACGTGATTAGTTTATAATGTCTCTGCTGACTGATTAAGGGTTTTCCCAATTCAGCTGAATTATGTTCTAGTCTGTTAAATATCATTGGGGAAAGCAATACTGACTAGTTCTGTATGGGGTGTATTTTTAATGTTCTCATGAAATAGAGCAAAAAAACTAACAATGAAGTAAAGTGCAATGAATGGTAAGTGCCTTCACACATATAAGAATGTGCCTCGTTTTCATTAAAGACAATACAATGTTCTGATGATCAAAAGTCTACATAAAAATAAGAATTCCTGCATCAATAAAAAGAAAAGAAATTAAAATGGCAACAGGAACGGCGACATTATTGACACAGTTTCCATGATTACATACATACATGATTTTATTTTGGTAAAATAGAAGGGATACACCGGAATGAAAATTCTTGGCTGAAACCGAAAACCGAAAATGAGGAAACCAAGGCCGAAAACCAAAACACCGAAAGAAATTATTATGCCAATTATTAGTACCATTGCATTTATGGCTATGACTGTGTACTAACCTCACTAAAATCAAGGCATTGCAATTCAAAGAATAAATCAATTACAAAAGTATGAAAATATTTATTTAGCACTGACATTACAACAATGCACAATATAAAATAAAATAAAATTCAAAATAAAATGTTTAACTTGACCCCACTCATGTGTACAATAAATAAATAATAATGATGAATGAATGAATGAATAATGAGAATAATAATCAGCCTATGAAATTCCACATCCTCTATGACAGAGAATGGCTGATCATCTAAGGCAATCAATTCAATATTTTTTTGTGTAATGCCCTTTGCCTTGGCACCATCACTGGAAAACTTTCTTGCCTTTTCAAAAACATCCGCCACAGACGGAGTGGGTGTGCTCGGATTGATTTTCCTTTTCTGTGCCACATTCTTCTTATAGTCAGAATGGCAATCAGGATGTTTGGATTTCAGGTGATAAATTAAACCCGACGCGGAGAAACTCTTTGCAGATGCACCCCCTCTTGAAATTTCAGCATTACACGTTTTGCAAATCGCTATACGTGGGTCTTTCTCACATATACTGAAATACGTCCACACCGCAGACATGTTGGCGCTTATCCAGACAAGCGTGTGCTGGCCGTGGTTTTTGTTCGCGCCATCACAACTTTCTGTTTCGGCCGTGTTGTTTCGGTGATAAAAGTATATAGTAAGAAAATTTTCGGTGGCCGAATATTCGGTGCATCCCTATAAAATAGTGAACATGCACATTAGCTCTATCTTTGATTTGCAATAGTTGAATAAAGTAAATATTGTATCCATCGAGATTGATTACAGCAACAATAATTTCCATGTCATGCTAAAAAAATATTTTTAAAATAATCTAAAATGCCTAAATAGAAAATGTATTACACAAAATACTCAAATCAATGTCGCACCTTCCAAAGGATCCCTGGTGAGGCCAAGCTGGCTGATAATGTATCTGGGAATATCAGTCTTGATACCGTGGCCCACCTTGGCATGACCCTCTGCAGCCTCCAAACGTTGGTAAAACTCCTCTGGATCAAACTCCTGTAGAAAAAGAGGGGAAACAAGTGTTGTGGTTTCACAATTATACACAATAGAACAGGAAAGTATTGCATGAGAAATACACACTGTCCCCTAACAAACAATTTGCACACCATACATCAGGAAAAAACACAGTTGCAATGTAATGACAGAGTCAGTAAAAAGTGAAGTTTCCGTCTTCTGTTTCTCCTTGACTTAAAGGAAAAAAGGGGTTGAATATCTGGGCTAATTGTAGAACTTGAATTATCTGCTACACACCTACTGTAAATATTAAGTGGCTTATAAATAGGAGAACAACATAATCCTGCCTGGCAAGGTAAACTTGCTGTTGCCTAATTCTAATATGCAAATACTCTGTAATTACAGCAACAACTATCATCACTACACCATATCATCAATGCATGTGACTCACCTGTGACATCTGTATTTGAAGGGATAGATATTTTGTTCAAGGCTCTAAGCTGGTAAGCATCATGTTGCTATTGCATCACTCCTCACACCTATTATCACTACTGTGTCTGCCAGTGAGTCTTACCAAACACTCCAGGAGCCTGGCCGGCCTGGAGATGATGATGAGAATCTTCTTGACCAGTTTAGTGATGATGGTCACCTCCTCACTCTCTGAACGCTCATACGCCTGATCAGGAAAGGACAAAAAGGATGATGGATTATTGTTGTGACTTAATCCAATTGGCACAAGCCACGAGACAGCGTGGCTCATCCACAGAGGCTGTCTGCACTTTGGTCTGGCTATTATTTTTAGCATCCATTTCATCTTCTTACATTATCCGTTGGTGATTCAATGGATCAGGCCTGGTATTTCAACATTTTGCATCAATACTCTTTTCTGTTCACTGCCTTGCCAGAGTTATAAATAATAGAAAACACTTTATTAACTTTCTTTGTTTCCATATCTTAGTCTAACATTGACTTGCCTTGGTCAAACAGCAGGTTCAGCGTCTGTGTTTAAGAGTTATGTCAGTCAGAGTTCAGGTTAGTCAGCTGATAGTTTGTAACACGTTCTGTCTCACCCTGTAAAACCTGTTGCAAGATTTGTTTTTAAAAGGAATCATCTTCAGAAAAACAGCATTATGTAACAGCAACTAGAATTCAGACCAGAGACGAACTAGCAAGCACAGGGACAAATCCAAACATGTGACATCAGGGACCATTTGCTTAAAATAAACCCTTAATAAGCTGGAAAATTGTTTTCATGGTAAGAGGAAAGAATAATTACAGAAATGTGGCTTTAACTGAATTTATAGACAAAATAATGTCTATCCCTGTTATAACTGAACGGTAAAGTAAGCTAGTAAAAGGCTGAATGGACACAAGAAAGCTGTGCTTACTGTTACTATTATCCAACTTTCTACATAAAAAGAGAAAGTCATTCAGGGCCTGAGTCTGCAGCAGAGGCTGTAATCTGTTTTGCAGAAGGCAGCATTTGCTGCAGAAACATTGTTGCTAGAAAGGTTATGTAATAAATCATTATATAATCAAACACTTGACCACTGCACAGATCTTTGTAATAATATAAAATGACAACATCATTACCGGCCAATGAACTGGAATCAGCTCTGAATGAGAGCCAATAAAACAGGCAATTTCAATCCAATGTTCCCAGTGAAGCTACAGTACAGCATGCAATGTCCCAGAGGGCAATCTGAGCTACCAACAATCAAAAATACAACTCACAATGTCTTAGGAGGAACAAACACTGGCTGTACAGTTGCATGGCTGAATAATAATCAAAAAAAGAAAACAAAACTGTGTGTTTGTGTCTGAGGTACGAGATGGGACATTTTTTTTAAAAGATGACAAAAACTCACCTCATGCAGCAGCTTCTCCAGTTTCTCCTGCAGCTCCACAAAGTACCTGGAGGTGACCAGGCCTTTTTGGGACTTGTCCAGACAGTCTCTGGCGAGCTCCACCAGCTGGTGCTGAATGAATCCCAGTACACCATCAGCCAGGGGAAGAGCAGAGCCTGGGGAACACTCTGCAATGATGTCAAGCAGCTGACCCTCCATCTGGGCTGTCGCCTGGGAAACAACCAAGATGAAAGATTTCATTTAAAAACGGGGACAGCCCTAACAATTTATTTACTGTTCCCCTTCCCCTCCCCACAGGTGAGTGAGGCAAGATTTTGACTTTCCCAGGAGCATTAAAATCCTGGTTTCTATGTGTAAAAAAAACACTCATGCACACATCTGTAAATCCTCTTTTCATGAGGAAGTGCATTAGTGCCACTGAAGATGTTTATCAAATACAGATCAGAGAGAAAGAAAAGCTCTGACTATACCTTAGGAAAGCGTTCTTTGTAGACATGATTCATCATGACAATTTCATTGTCAAATGTTCCACAGGTCCGTCCAGGGCTGGATAAGAAAGAGGAAAAACAGAAAAATAGATCAGAGATACAACATAACAATAAAGATCAAGTTTTTTTCTTGCTAAATTTTAATCACATAAAAACAGTGGAACTAATCTGCAAACTGATCAGGGGATCTACTGAAGCCGTCACATTCACATCCTAACAGACAAATAGGGATGCATGATCATTATCAGGGCAGAAAAATTATCAGATGATAATAGGAAATATATATTACTATGTATTACTCCAGGAATTAAAATTATAGCCAATAAATTATGGGTTGAGAATAATAATTTATTTTGAATTCTTATGCAAAACATTTTATAGGCTTTATGTTACATGAAAGCCAAAGTATGTGATGTTTTTTATACACCAGAAAAAAAACTAACATTTGAAGAGTCAGAACTGCTCTTTGTTTATGTTGTGTTAACAACAGTGATGTCATTGATTATATTTGGTTCGGCCAGAGTTGTGAAATATCAAATCATCCATTGATGAATTGATCACTACATCTTGGCCTTTCTTACCATCAGGTGTGACATTAGCGGTTATCATATTGGTGTCAGTCACAAGAAGCAAGTAATTATTGGATATTGTATCATCTGAAAAAATATCCATATTGTGCATCTTTACAAACAAATAAATAAATGAGTAAACTGCAAATGTTTGGTTGAGAGCGTTTACTGCCACCCCAAGTCATTAATACAGCATGTCTGAAACGTAATTCAGATCAGGTTCTCATCTGCAGTATCCATGACCACATCTGTTGTGTGCATAGTGTCAGTTACAAGAGTGCACCTTTAAAACTGTCTGTCTGCATTACAAATCAATGTACTGTCATCACAAATGTTAAAAATAGCCACCCTGGGTGCCACTATACATCACATACTACAAATAACAATATCAACATGTGACATGCACTTAACTATTTCTGGGTAAGTACAACAGTTGCACAGCAGTGGTTTTATTTGAGGGCAATAGCAACAGTTAACCCCTTGGGAAGTATCTGAAAGCAGTAAGAAATGCTTAACACACCCTGAGGAGCTATTTTAAAGTGACATAGACACGTGTCAGTCATCTATGATGTCAGTATTATCAATATGTGCAGCAATTAGATGTGTTTTTAATAGCAGTTACATGGATTAAATAAATTACACACTCAAACAGTTTAGCTGACCAAAACTAGAGTGTTTTCTCTCTGATGAGATTATTAGAAAGTTTATGGAATCTCATGTTCCATCTGTAAACAACTGATCAGGGGTCAGATTAACAAACCGTTGGAAAGAATATAACCAAACTAGAAAGATACGAAGCCTACAAGCAAGATAAGACTATATACTGGACCATTTCACATTTTCAAGTGGATGTTTAATCGATTAATGGTAAAGACCTTCTTCTATTGACTGCAACCTCTTCCCTTTTATTAGAAAACAACCACTTCTACATACATAAAACAACAGACATATCTAGAAAGTATCTAGAACCTTCTTTGAGTACGTTGCACGAGCAGGGACTTGTCACAGAAAAAAAACAACCACATCAAGATGTTGCCAACACCCTCCACAGCCCATTATAAAAGTCTCCAGCAACCTCAAATCTTCCCACCACTAGAGCTATTTAGAAGGTTTTAGTGTTTAATGAGAGCAGCAATGCTAAATGATGAGGAAATGCTATATTCTAATCCAGGGGATTACTAGTAACCAGCACAGAGGCAATCTTCCATAACCACATAAAATAAATATCCCACCATATTCAAATCCTACCAGCCAGTAAGTCATTATTTATAATCATACATGGAAGAATGTTACAAAACATTAGGTCTACTTTTGTCGGTCTGAGGCTGAGCAGCAATCTTACCAAATGGGATATTGCCTGTTTACGTTTCTGTTCACAGCTCTGCTACTAAGTGGAATACTGCTAGTCGGTCATTTGATCTCTCATAAAATGATTTTAAAATCGGTTGGATCGGTTTCAGTAAGCAGCTGGGGAAAAAAGGGGAAATGTACAGGGTGTAGGGTGTCTGTCACTAATGCTCATTGTATGCCCTACGCTTCTGGAGGTGGTAGCAATATGACTGGGACACCGAGGTAGTTAAACGCACAGTATAATGTCTGCCGCTATGGGTCCCTCACAAAAAATCAATAACAAAAGAGTAGTTTGATGACGTGAAGTAGCGTCAGAGCATTGGAGTTGTTGTCTTCACAACAACAAACACCACTGCCAATAGAAATCTATCTTACATGAGTTAGGCAGAAATTGTTTATGGACGAGTGAACAATACTTATTCACGTTACATTTAGTCATGTTTGCTGACTTCCTTCACCACTCTGACATACCCAGTGTTTCCCTGGAAGTTACAGCAAGTAGAGAGGGGTAAAGGGGAAGTGACACCATTGACAGGCGACCAAATTAAACCCACCGTTACCTTGAATAAGATTATGGATTTCTCTGGGTTTGCACATTATTGGAAACATTTAAATTTAGGATTGGCACTTTTGTAGTGTAATCACGCTGCTCAATTTAACATTAACTTACAACATCAGCCAGAAGAGGTATGCCTCTTGGGTTCCACCCAATAAAATCAAACTAATCTAATGAGATTATCATTTCTCCCAGCGGAGTGCAGTGTAACAGACATGTTTGTGCAACAAAAACAAGCAGTCCATACATCTGTGCAGTTTCGCATCGTATGATTCAAATCAAAGCTACCTGAGACTGCGTGAGCGGAGCCTGACAGGGGGCGCGGGGTGTGCTCCTTCTTCGTCCGCCACACTCTCTGTGCTCCGGAAATGTTTAAACAGGAAGTGGAGATCATCTTGCGTGGGCTGGAGGGGCAACTGATGCAATAACTCCTGGGAAGAAGAGGACTGGGAGGAAAGGGGGAGGTGTATGTAAAAGAGAGAAGAGTGAGAAACAACAGTGTACACAGGTCAGTTGGCTGGAATATATTGTAAATATGTGGTATAAACAATCAATGGCTCAACTTTATTTCCTACTTTTGTCTACTTTTATTTTCACATTGGTATCCATGTCAGGTTGTGCTTCTGCAGCTTTGATGATATAACATCCTGTGTTTAAAGGCTTCCTCGAATAAGAGATTCACACACTCTCAGATTCACTCATTATCCTGTGAATACTCAGAGTCTTAAAGGCTTTCATGTTCCACTATAGATCAGAATTAAATGTAATACTAAAACAAGGACATGCTGAGAAAGGGTGCAGTGAATTAAAAATAAAAATAATAAATCCCTTTTCCAGATTTTAAAAAATGACTCAGTGAGCTTTAGTGTTCTGCTATCCTAAAGCAGGATTTCTCCTTCCTGCTGCAGCATGCCCCGAGGCAGGCAGCAACGGCTGTTCTGTTGGCCATGCATGCATTGGTTTTCTCTTTCTAAGCCAAAATGTGTGACACGCAGCCTGGAATTTATGAGAACTCCCATCTGGCTGGGATCTTGTGTTTCACTGGAGGAAGAGCAAAGGGAAGAGTGGCTCATCTGACTGGCGGAAAGAGATGAGCCTAAAACAGAGAAAAAATAAAAGGAAAACAGAGAGAAAAAGGAAAAGGAAAACAGAGACAAACACAAACAGACAGAAAAAAGAAAGAGCAAGAAAGAAAGAGAAAATAAGTGATAAAAAGAGGGACAGAAAGATATCCTGTGGAGGAAACTAGAGAAGTGTCAGAGGCGAGCAAGAGCAGCATAAAGACTTCACTGACAGCAAGCCTGAAAGGGGCATTGTGTGGGGAGGGCTGACCTCACCGTCTCCAAGCCATGTGGTTGGCCACACAAAATTACAGCCGTGACAGAGGAGACGGGTATTGTTTTTACAGCTCAACTGCAGTTTCAGTAATGACTTTCAGGACAAAATCTCAAGCTAATCGGCACAGAAACCATAAACAAGTGGCTGATGGGTGTAGCTGGGGCGGCACGGCCTTTGACTTTTCCCGAAAGGAAAAGCTGAATGAAGAAATGCGAAATGCTGTACAGTCCCTACTCCTTTGTGATGTCATCCAGGAAAAAGAAAGCATGCATTTCAACAAGACCTGTGTAATTTTAGTGATAAGATTTATTATTCCTGTACTTTCCCTTGGTCAAAAGGGGCTACACAGAGCACGGCTCAAATCATTTTGGTATGAAGTCATATATCTAATAAGAACGGTCACATGGCTAACTATTAACTTTCCAACAAAGTCTTTTAATTCAGCCAGAAAAACACCCTAGGGGTTAAAATGTTGTGTATTGTGTGTCTTTAATCCGATCTATACTGTACAAATCATTCCAGGACAACTCTGGGAAAGGCATCTGAGGATTCATTCCTACTTCCTGCCTGCAGTGGAAAGTGTGATAAAAGGCTGATGATGGAGAGATGCATCATCGTTGGACATATCCTGTTATGACTGAGTCATTAAAAGATACAACATCCATCACCAGTCAGCTGTTTTTGTAAATCAACTGGCTGCAGAAAGCATGGTCGACCAGACCATGCTTTGTGAGGTACCAGTGTTGTGATGATGGTGTGAGAATGTATTCTGTGTCTTTGCTTGCAGCGGTTTAACTAATTATGACATTAAACTAGCGGTTTAACTAATTATGACGTTGAGTTTAAATGCTCTGCAGATATCAAACCCCGCTGTAAAAAGTTGGTATGTTCGTTTCCTCACCAAAAACAAAAGTGGTGATCAGCTTGGATTCATGTCAGATACAGCTGATTCCAACAGAGATATGTTTACACCGCGGAAAAAGTATCAAAACAGCCAAATCATTTTCTCAAACCTCCGCTGCAGCATAATCTACCTCTAAGCTGTCCAATGTATGCCCAGTAATTTTCAAGCATTTATATTTTTGCCAAAACATGACTAATTACACTGCTGCAACATTTAACTATACATATTGCTTGTTTATGTGACAAAAACACCTCGTGAAGCTCATGATCTGTTTACTGGTTTGCACATGTTGGGGCATCGTGCTATTCTGGGTGACATATCACTCTAAACTGAGTACTTAAGATGCCAAATATGGTTGCAGTCTTTCGATGCAAGCTATTGGTCAAAAAGGTGTAAAACACTTTTTTTACAGCTCATCTAAAATATGGCCCAGATGCAGGGTCCTTTTATAAAAGAACTGACCCTGTAAACTGAGTCTACTGTAAATCAACAACCATTTATGGGTGGATTTATTTCCTACACCGTGTGTAATCCGATGGGATTTACAATTCAGTCAGTCAGTCAGCACCATAAGTTTACAAGACACCACAGCCCTGTAAACTGATTGATACACTGACTAGAGGTAACACATGGAGCTAAATGGTCCCATGGCAGTGGTTTGGAAAGAGGTTGAATATCTGATGAAGAGACAGACCTCACTGGCACTGATCACTGATGATTGCAGGGAAATAAAGACAAAGACACTGAGAGAAAGACAGAGAGAGACTCGGCTTACAGATACTGATGAACTGGGTGCATTGGTGCAGTATCCAGACGAGGGAACTGACGCCACAGACCACCTTCGCCCATCCGCTCTGCAGAAACAAAACAGTAACAGGCTGCTCAGTGGCAGCTCCCTAGGCAGATATGAAACCTACACATCCTGTTGACTCACTCTAATCTTCAAAGCTTACACTTGCAAATATCCTTATTTAAATGCACCTTCTTGTGACAGTTCTGAGCAATAAAATCTGATGCTTGAAACGGTGTTGATAACAGATAAGAAAATACCAGTTTGTCATCTTCTTACCTTTCAGTGCGGGCCAGTTGGCTAAAAAATGGAGAGGAAAAGAGGGGAAGAGAGGAAGAGAGGAAGAGGGGCAGGCAGAGACACAAAGTGAGAAAGAAAATAAACACTGTTTAATGATAGTGACAGGATAAGTCTGGCTGTCACAGTCATAGCACTGTTCGTCTGTCACTGTCCGCAGCCAGTGGCGGTCTGCTGCTGCTGCGGCTGAACACCTGCCAAGCTGCTATCATATTGCAGCACTGGGACCCACAAACACTTAGCTCAGGACTCATTACATACACTCGCACACACAAACAAAATATACTGATAAACTCATAAACAGCACCCACATAAACACCATGAAACACCCACCCGGACAGCTACTACAAACAGAAAACCTCAACCTTTATGTCTGAAATTTCCACTTATAACAGTGCCTCCATCTCCTCCGTCCCCCTACTTTTCCATCCAATATGGCACTCTGAGGACGTGGCCCAGTTTCCTTCACTGATTCAATCTGTGATGACAAGGATGGTCAAATGCTTTCTCTCACAAACCAGCTCTTGGGGACATGTAGCTGAATCAGCTGCGACACAAAGAAATTGGATGGTTCTGCTCCGACTGAGATCTGAGGATGAGTCAGGTGAATCAGATGTGTGTTTTTTCTCATCTGGTTCATACCCAATATGTATGTCATCCACTATGTGTTATTAAATGCCTTTACTACTGACACTAGGTCGTATTAAGCTCCTGCAGGGCTTAAGAGGATAGAGGCCAAGATTAAAAACAAGGTTTTAAATCAACGTTAGAATCAATGCCTGGGGCGTAAAAAGGGAAAAAAAACACTATTGTAGGCCCGAGTGTTGGCAGTCCTCACACTCCAAGGTTAAAAAAAAAGCATCCTTAGTGATGAAGAGGGAGCTGCAGCTAAACGATTATACCGCACCCTTGCGATGGTTCCTTATCACATTATGCCTTCATTTGCATTAAAAAGACTTATTTACTATTTGCGTGAATGGCAACTATTGCATGTTTACATGACAAAATAATTGCACAAACAGCCGGGTTATACAGCTTGTGTAAATAACAAATAAACCCAGTGGATCTCTCAAAAGTGCAGTCACAGCATCTGTCTCCACACTGGCAGCTTAAAAAGTCTCAATAAATTGAGATGAGTCATACAGGCTCGTGCAAGGCGATTCTATCAGGAGACATCCCCTCTCCATCTACGCACTTATGGTGCAATATGCCCTGCTGCACTGCAACATGAAATGCTAATTCATAGCACATGATATGTGAGATAAGCAGCATGTACACATGGGTGACAATTTAAAAGGAAAAACCATCACAAATCACCTTTGTCAAGTTTCTCCACTCAGTTTTTCCCCTTTAATTTGTCATCTATATGTACATTTAATTGATTGAAATGTCTTTAATGTCCCCAAGGGGCAATTTGGTTCACAAAAGGTAGCCAACACATACACATTCGCACAAAAAACATAAAAACATGAAATTATGAATAAATAAAAGCATAAATACACATGTACACTATATATATATAAAAACAAAAAATAAAAAGTGAAAAAATGTACTGTGACATGGACAGGGATGGAAGATGACCTATAGTTTGTTGAGAAACCCAACAGCTGATGGTACAAATTATCTCAGGTATCTGTTAGACATGGCACTTTTTCGGGAGGTATACCTCCTTCCTGATGGTAGGAGGCAAAGCTCAGAGTATAGTGGATGAGTGATGTTAGCCGAAATGGCCATTGGCCTCTTTGTGGCTCTGGCCTCATACACATACCCAATGCTGTTGAGGTCAGTGCCAGTTATTTTCTGACATATGTTTACAATTTTACCCAGTCTTAGAGTACATTCAGTGAGACACACACAGCGTATTCTTTAAACTTCTCATATGTATACATAAATATATACAGCACTATTTTCAAACATCTCCTTCAGACTGAGCCTACATGGTGCCGTTTTGCTAAAAATCTCCATACTAGCAAGTCAACAACATGCTATTTTCTGCTACTGAACGAGGATGCCAGTTCCAGCTGTAGCCCTCTAAATCCAAGTGACTCTATACAGAGTTTCAAGAAGCGTGATGAGAGGGCAAGCTTTGCAATTTTTCCCCATAATCACAGCAACCCAGAGTAATGAGTGTGGGCACCAACTTGCCGCCTTAATTGGCTTGACAAATGCTAAGACTCTTGTCCAGCAAGTGGCCCTGGGCCCCCTGGATTGGTTTTGGCTCAGTCAGGCATTAACCTTGCTAGGAAAAAGTCACTAATGAAGCAGCTCTAACTCTCACTGCAGGTTCTGGTTGATACTGTTGAATGAATCATGAATGGAAATATATTTCTGCTGGAGTTTATTTCTTGTGTTTTCAATTTAAGCTGTCTGCAGTTTTGTCAGTTGACATCTTTGCAGGAAGAAAGATGAACCTACTCTAATGTTAAAATATGCATTTAATCCACTGTCTTTTGGAGGCATCTGCAGTGCATTTACTCAGTCTTACCATTTTTTGTTAGACAAGTAATAAATCCATATTAAAAAGCATTTGAGTAATTCTTACCTGCGGGCAAACTGGAAGTTGGCAGAGGTGCTGGCAGAGACATTTCTGGGGCTTTCTGAAGGGCTGCTGCCAGCTGAAAAAACAAACAAATATCAGTTACAAACTTTGAACATGAATAGAAGCTGAAATAAACTATGCATGTGACTATTTAAATGTCTAATCATTCCACTGGCTGTCTCCTATTTTGCAGCTGGTTTTACTTGACAGTTCAACCTGAAACAATCCAATCTTTTAATTACAGTAACACACCAGAGACGTTAACTAGGTCTCTTCCCTGTCTAATCAAAGAATCTCGGTTTCAGCAGACAGCAGGGAGTCGTGTTGTTGATCACACCACACACTTTTGAAAGGGTCACTAAAGGGTTTTCATGCCAGCCCCTAAGGGCATAGCCCCACCACACCCTGAGTCACTTAAAAAGTATGGGTACAAAGGATGAATGAGTCTCCATATAGCAATTGAGGCAGCTGGATCAAGGAATGAGTAGCCTAAAGGAAGTTACATGAAAAATATCATCATGAGGAGGAAAACTATTGTGTGTCTATACTTTGGGCACAACAGCAATGAAAACACCACCATGAACACACCAGGGGGACACCAGTGCTAGTCTTGTGACATACAGCATCAAAAACAAGGCTACGGGCACATATACCAGACAAAAAACCTAATGTAGTGGTCTCCTGCCACAGACGAACCCCTTCATCTCTTCATTCCATCTTCACCCACTTCCATTTTCCATGTGTTTACGATGTCTGTGCAAAGTACGGGTAATGAGCCTCTAGACTAATCGCCAAACAGTATGACACACTGAGCCACACAGACATGCACGTACCTGTGGCAAGTGGGAGAGGTGAAAGCGGCCGTGAGAGCGTGGGCGAAGGGGTCCCGACCGCCAAACTCCTTCTCTTGTTGTTACGGGAACTGTGACGAGAGGAAAACAAACAGAAGAGAGAAAACATTTGCTTATACAATGCAATTACAAAGACGATCACTCAGCACATGTGTCTTTTATCAGAGCAGTAAACAGTCACGTAAGATAAACACAGTCAACCTATGAACTTGAGTTGTTGATCGTGATAACGAAAGCACTGATAACTGTACTGATACTGGTAAAGGTATTGTTTATACATAAACATACAGCACAAACATGTATACATAGCTACAAACATGTATGCATGTAAATATATACACACACACTAACACAGACACACACTAACACAGACAGTATGTAACTGCACTAATTTAATTACATTTTAGAGAATAAAAGTGTTTACGACTACAGGAGTTAACCAGATAATGGAAATAAATAAAATGAATGAATATTCAGTAAGTAATAAGGGGTATGAACTATGTAGTAAGGTATTAAACTAAAGCACAATGATGATCCATTGATGTCTCCAGTGTCTGGAAGTGTTTTCCATGTGAGAATATGGGAAACATCTGGAAAGAGACGTGCTTGCACCACTGGGAGCACCTGATCCTATAAAAACAGCCTTTGTCTGGCTGTTATACAACGATGCAAAGAAATAAGTGGCCCCAATGACTCCCATGACATAACAGAGCAATCCATAACATACTATCGATACCATTATCCATTACCATGGATGAACACAATCTTTATCCACACACAAACTGATCCACTGCAGAGAGTCAGAGGTTCAGCAGTTGATTCAACTTTGGATACGAGCTTTTTCTAGAAAGAAACATATTAGGTTTGTCTGAGATACCAACTTTCAAAAGTCCTGTTTGGTTTTGATTCAGACAGAGATCTTGTTTCAATTCCACTTTAAAAGTTGACAGATACTAAGTGGCATTTCTGAGCACGACTCACTCACGTAGTGTAATTACAAGGCAGTTATTTAGAAGTTTAAATGTTATTTTTCGTCCACTTCCTGTATGTTTGTGCATGGTGCCACTGTCTGGAGGCCTCTGTATATGCCTGGTGATCACTCTACGTGTACTGAAGTCCTGAGGCAGAATATAATTAGGGATCTTTTTTGTTTGTTTTTACGTTCCCAAAAAAGCTGGATGTAATCCCATCATGCCCTCCATTTCATCCTGGTAATGTTGATGCCATCTCTCTTTCTCTCTGGCAATGACCTAAAATAATTGAGGGGCTGAGACAACAACAGAGCCTGACGTTTCTGGGTCGGTGCTGAGGCAGATTTACACAGTATATGGCCCCCAACCCCAAAAAAGACTCAAAGTGGCAGAGACGGCACAGCAACAGAGAGCAGGGCAAGCCAATAAAAAAAAAAGCTTGACTTTGGCATCAGCGACACACCAACCAGAGAATGACACTGTGCACCATTTTACTCTTATCGGAACATAAATAAACAGATACCCTCTTCACACTATAGAGCCTGGACAAAACTGGCATAAAAGCATCGCTGTATCACACCATGACCACGAGAGAGCTTTATCATCAGTTGGCAGTGATAAGGCTACTCATATCTGGGACTAACAATAGTGGTTTGTAGGGACCTTGCAGGCAGACATGTAGCATGATGAATGTAGGCCACTGAGATGAGGGCCTGCATGTTTCACATGTCTGCTGATGGTGAAGGGCTGCATTTATTCACTGTGCTCCATTCAAAGCAGTGCTGTGTTGAATGGGTTACATGACTTGTGTATATTTCCTATAGCATAATACAGCACAGAATATCATTAGCAGCATGTTAATAGTTTGATAATCTACATTAAATACATTTAAAAGATGAGAGCAAAGGGGGGATTCTTCGAGAATGTCACTCATTAGCAATGAGTCTTACAGCCTATATATGTCATTGGCAGCAGCTATATAACTGATACCTAATGTGCCAGAATCTCAACTAAACAATATATCAATAGGGAAATATTGGTTTCACGACAAAGAAAATAAAAACGCCATAAATAATGATAAGATCTCTATGAACTCACTGAATACCAGAGACACACGGGGCATGAAAGGCACATTTTACTGCTCTAGTTAGTGAGGGCTGATTCTATTTACCTCACAGATAAAAAGCACATTTACAACACTAAAGTCTCACTAAGCACATCAGCGTATCGATCAGCATTGGGACTTTGTGTCGCTGTATGCGACAGCTGGTAGCAGACAATGCAGTCTGCTCACATACACAACACTCTACAATGGCCACGTTTCTCTGTCGGAAACAAAAACTAGGGCGGATGTAACCGACACATACAGTAACGTGCAGTCGGTTACCACGGACACCACAATGTCACTGGCAATCTGAGCTGAATGATGATAATGTTACCAGACACTGTGTGTGTGTGTGTGTGTGTGTGTGTGTGTGTGTGTGTGTGTGTGTGTGTGTATTGGAGGGGGAGGGTTGCGTTTACATGCTGTGAATCAAATAGCTCAACGTAAACGTTCAACAAATTGCTGTTTGTCAGACAGTGAATGGCTCAGCTCAGCGGGGAGCTGGTGACAACCACAGGCCGAGCAGACGTTTTCGCTTTGCGGCAGTTTAGTCAATACTGTGTCGGTTTTGTCTGCACATTCAGAGGCTAGTATTAAAACAGGCTGTTACCTTTTTGATCTTTTCATCATGGCCCCAGTCACAAAACTAGTTTTGTAGCTCGGCAACACGGTCCAATAGTAGTTTTGGTCAGACATGGTGGTGGCCGATAAAAATCCAATCAAGATATGAAGAATTAGCCCCTTGTTAAAGTGGGACCATCGTGTTAAACAGTCTCTCCTGCGGAGTTGTTATTACTGGTGGTGGTTAGGCCAGTACGCAATGTCCAGCGGCACAAACTCCATACAGCCTCGGTACAAACTGACCCCAGACCCACGGCACGGTAGCTCGGTGGTGGTGGTGGTGGTGTGCGACTGTAACGGCCATGTCCGCTCTGCTCCTTCTTACTGTCACCAGTGAAATGTCCGACACAGTGTGTCCTCCGCGAGATGCGACATTGTCGAGTGATATCTTCGTCCAAATATAAAGAGTGATACAAACTTTCCAGTAGCAATGCCGCACCGCGCAGCCGCGTCAGCGCTCGCCGGAGGGAGGAGGGACTAATGATGCCTTCATGGACTGTCGGGAATATTTGCTTAATACACAAATGAACCACCCAATGAAAAACAGAAAGAAGACAGAGGAATGGTGTTTTTCCAGTGTTTTTGACATTCAAACACCTGTTATAATCCTGCATCCTAGAATCTTTGTAAAAAATTAATGTAGCAAGTTGCGTATCTAAGCAACAGTTTCCAGTTATGGGCCGTACGAATAGCCATGAATGTTGCATTTTTGTCATCAGGAGCACAGATCCTCATGTGATTTTCATGGATTTCAAGGACTGTTGACTCATGTTGCACATGTTGCCAAGAATTCAAATTGTGTTCTTAAATTTTGAAACGCAGCCATTGTTTGTGATAAAACCATCATAATAATAATAATCCATCTATCTGTTTTCTGCCACTTATACATGGCCTGTGTCAAGGTGGCAGCAGGCTAAAGCAAGGTAGTCCCTGTACCCAGCAACGTTTTCCAGCTCCTCCTGAGGGAAACCAATGTGTTCCAAAGCCAGATAAACATATAATCCCTTAAGAGTGTTGTGGGTCGATTCTGGGGACCCTTACCAGTTGGACATGTCCAGAAAACCTCCAAAGGAATGCGCGCCCAGAAGGCTTCCTGACCTCTCACGAACAAGGCCCTGAGATACTTGAACTCACTTGGGGCAGCAATTGACTCGCAACCCAGAGGAACCGATCCACTGTCAGAGAACCATGGCCTCAGAGGTGCTGACTCTCCTCCCGACCACTTCACATTTTACAACAGAACCACATCATCTGCAAAGAGCAGAGAAGCAGTTCTGAGGTCCCCAAATCGGACTCTCCCCAAAAAGCCCCAGATCAATTGCCAGTTGATTTCAACTAAATTACTACAAACAGGATGTCAATAGAGGCCCACAGTTAATTTGGCCTATAGTGAGTTAAACCAGCCCTGCTCGGCTTTTTTACCATTTACCATTTGAAGTCCCTACTGAACTATGTGTTGATTTCTTCTTAGAGAATCTATTCACTTTTATCAATAACATAGCAATATAGTATAGTAGTAATTTATTTAAAATAAATTGTATATATTGACCACCCAGACAGCATGCAGTCCCTGTATACCCTATTGCTTTTATCCAATAAAAATACTGCCCTTGATACACCTAAAATGAAAATTTCCTTGTTTGTCTGCGACACCTTGAGTGGCCAGGGAAACTCTTTAAAGTCTTTAAATCGGTCCTCTGTGATCTGCTGTTAGCATTTCCAGTGATTCTGATCTTTCCTCTGACTCATAGACACTGAAACTAGTCTAATCTCTTTTGTAAAGGCGGAGGAAAGTCCCTGAGCAGGTTAGAGTAGGTAAAGAGACTGATGTTGTTCTGACTGGAGCACCTCCTATTTGAGCAGCACAAATCTAGTTCCTTCAGGCTGTTCTCATGTGTCACTCCTCTGTTGATAAAACTTGATATGAACTCTTACTACTGTGTACAAAAATCCCATTAATCATCAGCTGTTTACTTCTGAACAGGAAAAAGATTTAGATAAAAAAAAAAAACCCACTACACACTGGCTCAGCTTGTTTGCTCAGTTCACATTTTAGTACATAATGGACACCAGATTATTGACTCTGCTGTAGCAAAATGGTGAAAACTGATTTAGATATTCAATGTATATTTACAATAAGCATGGACCTTTAGGGAATAAAGGAGGTGCAACGTATTGATTCTCACACACTGAGAAGATTTCATGCATACAGCGTGTGACTCTTAACTCTTATCTCTATCTCTGCTCTCCCTCTCTAAGTTTACGTAAAACCTGTCTGAGCAGTGAGACTGCTCTGAGTTTCAAGCAGTCCTAAGAAGCAGCTTCAGAAGTTCTTGTCTGGCAGGAGAGGGTGAAGGAAATGTATACGGGTGTGAAATACGGCACACATACACAACAAAGCTGACAAGTGACCGGCACCTGGCTGGTCTGGTTTGAAGAGAATGAACCATGGCAAAAGGAGACAGACAGACAGACAGACAGACAGACAGACAGACAGACAGAGCACACAATACATCAGTTAAATATACTTACACATTTCCCCTTCGAGGAAGACTCAGTTCTTTCTAAAAAAAAAAGGAAAAAAGAAAAAGATGGAATATACTGAAATGAGAATATTTACTTTAAAAATTGCCTTTTCCATGATTTTCTTGGTAAGATTGCTTTGAAATGGTGTTTGAGCAGAGAGGGATGTTTATTGTTTGTCTGGAATATTTTCCTTATCAGGAGACTGTTTTCATTTTTAATATATTTCTGCTGTTATGAAAACACGCGCTGATTCCTCAGAATAGGCTGGGAGGAATGTGTTTTTTGCTGTCTTAACAGACACTTTACATTCATACAAAAATAAGAAGTGCAGTGTAAATATCATTAGCTGCAGTATGGCCTAGTTTCTTGCGTGACAAGTGGGTCTTCAAGTCATTCACTGGTGAGGACACAAATCCTCAGTAGCCCACGGCTTCTGTGTTTGAGCTCAAGCAACTGCAAAACTGCCCTTGCCTATCAGGATTTTGCAGGACAGGGAGGGGTTGTGCACAAAATCATTTTGAGGCTACCAGCATTGAGTCCATCCTCTCCAAGACAGTCCATCTCAGACAGTGACTGATTAAAAACAAGGTATGTAAAAACATAATAAAATACCAGAACAAGGACAGAAAATAAATCAGTATTAATCAGAACATACGCATTTGTAATATAACTATATATATAACTATATAGTCTTCATTAAGTACTGACATTATATTGGGTCTTTTTCACAACATAATAGACTTAAGATAGGCTTGAAAGCGAACCTGAGTAATTTCCCTGCATTAATAATTTTCATTATTAGTATAATGGCAGGGCTGCACTTAAATCTAAATTGCAGATGAATGTAAGGTAGAAAAGAAACCAATTACAATAACTGAATGGGAACACCCAGTTTGTCTTTCATCACAAACCCACCATCACCTCCTCCATAATAGACCAGGGCTTGAAATAATGCAGCTTTTACTAATTCATTTGTGCAGAAAATATACACATGAATGAAGTATACTGGGGAGAGGGGGAAAAATCACTTAATTATTCCCACTCTGGACATTCCTGAGTGATAAACATGGCACACAGGAGAAGATTAAAGGGATGTTTCTGCCAATCATTCAGGAACCCTTGGGTTTTATGCTCCTATCACCAAGGCAACCAGATTCACCAGAGCACCAATGGAGAGCTCCAAAATAAACACATAAGACAGTGGCTTCAGTTCTGCTATATGCAGACCTACATTCATTAATTACATTATGTGCACTATTAATTATTGCAATTCTTGGATTCGTGGTGGTGCCACCGCCTATTTTAATGAATGAACACCAGCCATGAGGAAAAAATCATCATCACTTTAATAAACATTTCCAAACCATGTCACATGAATATCAGGAAGAGCCAAGAATAAATTTAGATTTTTATGGAGAATATAAGAAGAGCGGACATAAAGTAATTCCTGGATAAAAACATCGCTCGTAGCCAATGGCTCATCATCATCATCATCATCATCATCATCATCATAATAATAATCATAATAATATCATATCAGCCCCCATTTACCTGTAGACCGCGGCGTCTCAGGATATTCGGCTCGTCCATCATTGAACACAATAAAAAACCAGCACCGATCTCCGGTCAGTCAGCCCATAGTGCGCTCTGTACTCCCCATAGGAGCGTGGATAGAGTCCTCCTCTCTGCTGCCGCTGCTAGATCACCACCACCACCACCAGTTCTTCCTCCTCCTCCTCCTCCTCCCCCGGGGCGGGCTGCACGACCGGTGTAGTAGCTGATCACCTGATCGGGAGGGGAGGAAGGAGGTTGGTGGAGAGGGGACTTAACATAGACCCTAGTAATGAAGTGAGAAGGCGTGTTGACCCCACCCTCTTATTGATACTCTGTGATCAGTTGTTAAATATTGGTTTCACTGAGTGTAATGGGAGCTGTCAGATATTCAAAGATGCTGTCACTTCCTCATTATTTCATGTACTCCCAATCCCTGGTGGTTCCTGGTCCCCATTTTGGAAAACTCCCCCTCTCTAGGATCTTCTTAACAAACCTGTGGTCACCAGAAAAAGCCTTTATTTAGTAATAACCCTGCAACTGTGAAGGCGTTGGTACTGTAAATCCTCCAGAAACACATGCAGTCCACTTCTTCCATATGTTGTGCTACATGTAGGGTGTTAATCCTTCTCACCCATCATGTAAAATAACACAGTGTCTGTGAGGGGGGGAAAAAACCTCACGAGAGAGGATACGGAACAATTGTTCTTTGAAGTCAAGCTGAATAGCAGTGATTGATCTGTGTCTGTCCCCCAGTGGTACCGTGATGTGTTTTTTTCCATATACAACAATGGTTAGCTCTCTTGTCCTGTGATGTCTCATGTCCATTTATGTAAGCCGGAGGGACGTGAATCCTTCATTGTTCTTTTGTGAAGTTCACTGTTTATTTGAAACAGCTTAGAGTGAAAACTCTGAGTGGTGAAAATCAACCGTCTGCAGAGTTCAAAGTGAATCTGAGTGACCCAGTTAGACTAACTTATAGTGGGTTTTCAAGATTTGTTTCAAGTAACTAGTTTGTATATAATGCTACTGTAACCAAATGTATCTTGTGGAGTAGTGCTTTCATAATGGCAAAGTCATCACTACTGTTTCTCTCCTCTTTTCTGGTCTGGGGTTTCCTGTCTCTTTGTGATTATCATGAACAGCTTGGTTGGATCACTTCTGTGTAGAAGTATCAATAAAACAATGCTACAAAAATATATTTTGATTTTATATGGAGTAAGAGTTGTGCCACCAGCCATTCAAGCAAGATTAATTTATAGTAAAATGTATTCTGAAAGTGAACAGTGTGTTTAAAGTTCCACAATATATATCGAATGATTGAACCTATATTTTAATGTAAAATGTAAAGTTTTTTTATTTTGTTTTTTAAAGATGTAGTTTTAATACCTATACAGAAAAGTAAAAGGTATCCATCCTCCTATGTGAAGGTGCATTGTGAATTACTACTCATAGACCACACACAGAACCACTTTGCATTTGTGCAAACAACCAGTCACTTATTAATGGAAAGGGATCTGCAGCGATTATCAAGCAATTGTTCCTGGTCTTAATATAGCAACCATTTATCCTTTCTTATCTATATGTAAGTATGTGTTTTGTTTTCTTTTTGTTTGTGCTTACTTTTACTTGTGTTTTTTTGTATATATGTCTTTTAATATGTGTATGTGAACTTTTTGTATGAATGTCTGGCTGCACACAAATTTACCAGCGATCTAGTTCTAACATGAATCTATGTAACGTGTTATCGCAGATTTATATCTGCATTTTTTAGGGCTTTTTATCTTTTCTCGTCAACAAATAATAAGTGACCCAAGACTAGAGTTATGACTTCTTCTTATAAGGAAGTGATTTTTCAGGGAAAGAGTTCAACACAGGTGACTAGGAAATTGGTTCTTCTGTGTTAACTGCTGCTGTATTTATTTCAGATGAACATTAAAAGGTGAACTTCTTTATGTGTACAAACATCTGTCTTTTGTTCTTCACTAGAGTGATGATGGAGTTTGGAGCTATAAAAAGACAGACTATGTCCTTTTGTGGTGCTCTACATGTGATCCAGTGTAGGTCATCTTCAAATGGTCCATGCTCATTAGTGGAACCAGTTAGGCATGAAAGTCATCTCTTCCTCTTTTTGCAGTCATTTGGTTTTCTCCTTACTCTGTATCTCTGATCTTAATCTCACTTGCTTACTTACTTAAGGCTGAAAGGTAAAAGAAAGAGCCTAATCCCAGTTTTCTGATAGTCCAGCCACTTATTTTCTTTTAAATTCTGTGAGCTGGAAATAAAGAATAAAACATCTTAGTGTTACTAATGTTTATCTTTAAAACTATCTATGATCAGTGAAAGTTTGGCACAGTCACAGTTTCTTTGTTGACTGGATCAAATCACGACTGTCATTTGTACTTAAACTGCTTGAACATGAAGGGAGGCAATAAAACAAATGAACAGAACTACCAAATAACAGGACTGCCTTCTCATTAGGTGGCATTTTTCACATCTATATGAAATGTCCACTGGCACACACATAACACTCTTCGTCCTTTAATTGCATTAGAAAACAATGATTTCCTCTTATACGCTGCCTGTAGACTTAATCTCAGTTCCATATGAGGTTCATATTTAATTTTCTGCTCCTTCTCACATCCAATTAAGCTGTAATGTAGCTTATTAAAGTATGTACTGTCGCTTTAAGCCACCAGAGGGCACCATGGAACTAACATGTTAACCCTGGAAATGAAGAGTTATACTCTCCTCTGCCAAGTGCATTCTGGGAATGGTTCAGTCCCTTGCCACTAAATGCACTGTAAACCTAAAGGGAAGAGAAAATGGTAAAAAAATAAGTAAATAAATAAACAAAAAAGTAAATGAACGAAGGAATGGTAATGGAATAGCACTGGATTTTAAAGCTCCCTTTATCCACCTGTTTATACGTTTATTTGCCATTAACTCATTCATGTTGGCAAACAGTCTAAATAGAAGCAATATATGTAATAGTATTAAACTGCTGCAAGCAAAATCAACTTTAAGTTGTGAGCAGTTCAATAAAAACTGGGGTTTCAGTTAAATTGTTTCATTTAAATGTAATGTAAATGTACGATCCACAACCCCCTGCAGGTGGCCCCGACAACCAGGCTGGAAACCACTGTGCCATGTGAATCACGCAATGCACCTACAATTGTCGTTTCTGTCTTACCAGTGTGTGTGATGAAATTTACTCCCATTATGCGGAAACATCTTCACATGATGACAAGACAAGTCAATGCCTTCTTTCCTGTCTATCTTACTAAGAGTCTAATGGCAGTTTAAACAACAGTGCCAGCGTGAGTCACTTTACACCTTTCACACACTTTCAACTTGCAAAGTTGGCTCGCCTGGCAAAGCACATGATTGTTTCATCACCTCAGTGACTCACTGCTCATAAATTCACACTCTCCAGCACTTTTTGATATCTGGGCAGTAACTTCTTCACATGCTCAAATATAGTCCTGGCTTTTGATATTGGGAAATGATTTTGCATGAAAGGAGACAAGAGAGAAATTAGTTCCCAATTTTTTGGGCAATAGTCAAATTTAGTCACATATTGTATATGAGCTGTGAGAAGATTGAACAAAGAGAGATGTTCCTTTCTCAGTTTGTTTCATTTTCATAATCATTAGTCCTAAAGAAGACGTCTCCAGCATGTCACATGTAAAGAGCAAAGATGTGAGGAACAAGAATAACTGCAATTATTTTCAGTAGAATTTTTTTTTCTTTTCTTTTTTTGGTTGGCCATGTCACATTTATCTTGAAACTCCTCTTTCGCAATGTATTGCATCAGCTCAACACATTTAATGAGAATTGTCTATCATATTTAATTAGCATTCACATACTCAATTGTATGGTTCTGTGATGCTCATTTTATTGTTTTCTAATGTACATATTACCATTTAATTAAATTTTTATGATTACCCTTATGACACAACAGTTTTACTATCTGGTTGATTAAAGGTAATGTTATACTTCCAAGCTCACAATTTGGCACGAATGGTTATAAGTGCCTTTTTATGAACACTTTCCATAAATGAAAATCTTTATCAGTCAGCAATTGCTGCAGTGGGGAATGCCCTCAGTTGGAAAGAATAAGGTCAATGACACAGACGGCCACGTATTAGGGTGGGGAAGCTGCTTTGCAATCAAGCAGTGCACTGACCCCATCAACTGAGAGAAATGAGGATTTTCACATTATATGCTGTTACAGTAACTGCTTGGCAACTCTCCACAATGCAGACGCAGTTGTCGCCCGTGTTTAGCTCGTCAGTCTGTCCCAACAATTACTGCTGAAAGGGCAGGAATGCTGCTCTCTCTTTCAACTGTGGAGGATGGTAGATCAGATATGTTGTCAGTCTATTTTAATCATCATAATAAGAGAGCACTTTTACAGAGCGCTCCGTCTGATCTTTGATGAGCTCCTTACATCAGTTTGTGTGATGATGTTATTACTGTAAGAATAGTCAAGAGATAAGTGTCACAAGACAGTTCCCCCTTACTTAGATAACCCCTTACTTTCTTTATCTTTTTTTTAACCTTGAGACATTTCCTCTTTGGGCTGGTTTAAGGAGGGACTAGTAACATACAGATAATAAACTCTCTCCACCTTTTTCTGTCTTTGTTTATTGTATGTTGGCACTAAAAGCTGTTGAATATTCAGTCATATTCATATAGTGACTTGCGGTCTTTGGCAGGAAGGTAGCCAGTAGTATTTGGAGATGGGGTTTCCCAGGTTTTCAGCACGTTGTCTGCGAGTGAACAAGACTGTATCTGATCCTGACCTCTGACCATACTTGGCAGAGTTGCAACAAGGGAGAAACACAGCCTTATAGGGATAAATAACATTATCATTATCAACCCTGGAGGAGCTAATGTAATTGCCTATTGCCCCCCTCCTTAGAACTGGTCACTGTAAGACATATGGTCATTTATTTGATTAAGTGACAAATAACAATCCTGGTGACGTAGCATTCTGAGGTGCACACCATGTACTCATGACATAACCAAATCTCACCCAGAAATCCTTTCATCTTACGTCCCTCCCATCTCTGCTTTCACTTCCTATTGTGTGCTAATGAAACTGAAAAACAGCTGTAAATGTTCAAATTAATTACGCAGATTTCCAATTTCATATTGTCACATATTGTTAACACAGAGCACAATACTGCAAAATGTTGCCACATAGTGACATATGGTCCCAGCTGAGCCCATCACAGGCTCACCTGACTAACCAGGGGTGTGGCAACCCAGAAGCTCTATAAATAAAAGCATGTCAAGAATTTCATTTATAACATGGACAAACCCCATCCACTGAGCTGCAGCACTCTCAGACCAAACCTACCTGGCAGGCTCACCATGCTCAGATCACTCCAGCAACTCATCTCTTGCGTACTGCTGCTCCTCTTTTCCTTCTCCAGCTCAGGGGAGAGCCGGCCTCACGTGGCCCACAGAAGTGCACCTGATGTGGATAGAACGGACAGCCAGAGGGTCCTGTTTCTGGAGGCGGTGAAGACAGGGATCCTCAGCTCGTTGGGTATGGACAAGGAGCCAAGGCCAACCCAAAAGGCCTCGGAGGAAGAGCTGAGGGAGATGTATCAGCTCTACGGAGAAAAACTGAGAAAAATGACAGGAAACTCCACCCAGGCAAAGAGGGAAACCTCGCAGTCCACTTTGTCTACTGTGCTCTTTCCAGCTACAGGTGAGATATTTGTTGGACAGGGGAGACATCAAAAAGAAAGTTAGGCCCAATTGAACCATTGTCACACTTAAATGTGAAATGTCTGAGTGGGAGTGGAGAAAGAACATTTCATAACTAAAAAAAATTCTTGCTGTGTGAGTTTACGTCTGCAGACAAAAGCTATTGTGCCGTGTGGTTGTGCTATAAATAACTTCTGCCCCTATAGTTCATGCTCCAGGTGAAGATCTGTGACTCCCTGGAATTCTTCTGTGCAGAGCTTAAACATAATGCAAATGGTTGGAAATAGAAGTTCTGTAGCCATCAAACAGTGCTGTAAACAAAGCAAACACATTCCTACAAGCTTTTAGAAATCATCAGCGTGAAAGGCACACCTTGTACATGATGTTACAATTGGAACGCATGGTTTTAGTAATGTCAATGAAAATGAGCCAACCACTCATACGAGTTTATGTAGCCTGATTCCATGCCATGATGTTTAAATAAATGTAATGTGGGCATGGATTTTTCCAACTTGGGTTCTAATTAATCTTCTCTTTGTTCTTCTAGTGGAGCCAATAAAAGTGCTTCAGAGGCGAGAACAAACACAGTCTGGTCAAAGCATGCAGTGGTTTAGAGCTGTTTTCCATAAGAACCCCAACATCCAGTCTGAACTGACACTAGCTCGGGCTGAGCTTCAGATCTCCAGGCAGATTTTAAACAACCCCACTTCAGTTCAGGCTGAGGCAAGACGAAAGATTAAAGTGAAAGTCAACAGGATGAAGCCGATAAACTCTGCAGCCCTGACACACATAAACTCACCAGTCCCTGCCAATGTGTCAGGCAAACAACATGTAATGCTGGACGTCAGCCCTGAGGTGGAGAAGTGGATGAGGACTGATGGCGGTCAGGCACTAGTTGTGGACATAGGGATCGTTGTTGGTGGAAAACATGCCCTGGAGGCAAATCCAACCATTTCTCTGGAATTAGGCCTCACACAGCCTAAACCAGCCAGCAGGTCGAGGCTGCCTCGCTCCAACAAGGAAGATGACTGTGACGAAAGAGGATGGTGCTGCCGGAAGTCTGTCACCGTGTCCTTCAAAGACATTGGCTGGACTGACTGGGTGGTGGCCCCAGCCGAGTATACCATGCATTTCTGTGACGGCACCTGCCCCCACAACTACAAGCCTGCGAGCATGCACACTCAGGTGAAGTCTCGGCTGCACCAGATTACCAAAGGAGAGACACCTCACCCCTGCTGCGTGCCGTCAGACTATGAGCCAATGGTTCTCATGCACTATGATAGTAGGGGAAAGTTGAAGCTGACTCCCTTTGACGACTTGATTGTCAGTAAATGTTACTGTGCCTGAGGAAAAAGAAAGAAAAGTGACTTTAAACCCTAAGCTTTGGGAGAGAATTGCCACTACAAAAAAAAAATGTTACATGGTAAAACCCCCCTGTTGTGTTCTTAAAGGTACATATTATCACAGCTGCATACTTATAGATTCAAACTGCAATTATCCACCATTACTTTGTTCATTCATGACGGTGCCTTTGAAAATTATTTATTTTAAGTTCTTTTATTTATGGTCCTAAACTTATTATTACTTATTTGTGTTTTGTTATTGTTGTTTTTTTATGTTACAGCATAAATACTATTTAATTGTATTGTCATTTATTATTAAAAGTACTGTATTCTTTTATGAGGCACTTGATTTAGACATTTTGTTTGTTGTCTTATACATTTCAATAATTATGTGAAGACCAAAATAAATGTTCTGATTTATTCATACTGAACTGTTGCACTTGAATATATCAACATGTACATTTCAAAATAAACATGTGAGCATGATATATTTTCTCATATTTGTCATTTATCCACAGAAATACTTTCAGCCACAGTAGATAAGGAAGGTCAGGGTGTGCCAAAGAATTTAACATGCAAAGATATGATAACTTCTATCTCCCATTAATGACCTTGAAGTTGTGTTCACTGCGGCCTTGACCAACTAGTTAATAGAAAAAAACAGAATCATTAGTTTAATTTGACGGAGAAAACGGGAATTCATAAAAAGGAAAAAAAACAGCTTGCTGTGTAAACTCAGTGTTCATATTACATATCTATGACGATACTGTATTTTCAATACAGATTATCCGAGCTTGTGTCTGTAATATTTGCTTTTAAGTGCTGTTGAGATAAGTTATTAGAAAAAAGAACAAATAATAACATGAGATACCCTATGATAAGTACGATCGCAAAGACAAGAAAACTTCATTCACAGCAGAAAAGGAGCTCATGAGGGGAGCTGAAAACATGCCAAAGTGCACCTCAAGGTTTTGGAGTTTAAAAGTAATAAACTGAGCTTCATACTTCGGTGATATTTAGTAAGTGAACTGAAGTGAACTGAAATCGGTAGCCAACTTCTCTGAAATGTTTATGGTTTAATTATTCCAATACGTGATACCACCAACCCTAATGAGTAATTAAACGTTTTTATCTTTGGATTGGTAAAGGTCACTTGAATATGACCATATGTTGTTTTACAATTAATAAAGTAGACGTATTCAAAGGTGGGGCATGTTGAGTGACCCTGGTCGACTGAATAAATAGTCAGATGAATAAATAGGTGATTAATCAGAGCGGCAGACACAAATGTCACTGTAATTACACTGTTCTACTGGTAAATTCAGACCTGTGTCCAGTAACTGCTCATTCATTTCTTTGTTTCTATACTCTTTGTTTCAGGGATGACATCCTAAGTTCTTACACAACTGTGTGGATATTAAAGTCTTCAATCTTAGATTCTGAAAGGTCCTGCGTTGCAGTACCACCCAAAGTATACAAGTATAAAAGAATTAGGGACAGTATTTATCAATCCCTTCCATGTGTAATCTAAGATAGACAGCATGAATTTATTAGCCTCCTGTATTTGGCTTTCTCCTGGTTTTAATCCTCACGTAGGCTTCCTGGAACACTGTTGCTGAAATGAATTCCCAGGTGAAACGGAATTAAAAATAAAAGCATCTCTTGTCATTCACCATCCAGAGAAGCACAATTCACACCTCTTGTTTTGTACCTTTTGTAAGTGTTGTGTCTATTTCTCTCTCTAAAATATGTTAACTATATCAGTAAATTAACAGTAAAACTATGATAGTAAATTTGGATTTTTGTGCTACACAGTCAGAATAGTTTTCACATCCTCTTTGTGTGCCTCTTCTGAAAAAAACTGATGGCCCACAGAACACAAAAAATGCTGCTGACCTATGCATGTTTTTAAAGTCATAATGTTGTTTCCTGTGCAAGTACCATGTTTAGCAGTGGTGTTTCTCACAGTTAAAAATGTTCATTCCTGCAGTGTACGTCTTGTCTTTACATAATTTTATGGATAGAATAAAGAATAAAGTAAATTTATTTTTTCTATTCTCACATATTTTATAAAGTCTAAAAAGACACACAGAACAGGTGGGTATTAAACATAATAAAAATTCGTTTTTATTTAGTTTAATTTCTTAAACTTTATTTATATTGTTAAGTTGTTTTTTCTTGCTTAATATTGTGTCCTTTGGGTTTCATCTTCTTAAATGTATCTTTATAATTTGACCTGAATCAGAATAATAAAGCCCTCCTAAATAGTCCAGGACTCATTTATAATTTTAATACGTTTAAATTATTTTACATTGTGGCTGTTATTGACAATTTATAGAACATTGTTTTATGGTGACAATATAGAGCAAAAATAAGTTTCAGTGTTAAAACAGAGTTAATTACTGTAACCTGTTTCAGTGTCAACTGTGGCCTCCTGTGACTGACTTCAAGGCTGATAAATATTCAGAAAGTGCTACTGACAAACATTTATTGATCACATTAAGTATATCATGATAGCTTTAGAACCATTACTGTTCCATAAAATATAATGAATACTATACCCACCCACACATCCACCTACTTATACATGTTCATAAATGTGAAGCATATTTTCATATTCACATACCCCTTCTGGTTTTCAGTGTATTTAAAAAAGTAATTTGTATTTGTAGATTTATTTTAAACCTGTTAATTTACTATTCTAAACAACTCAAATGTTAATTTTCTATGTTTCTGAAATGTTTCTTAATATAATGAAGGACCAAGTGCAAAACTGTGCATACAAAAAAGGACTTTATCAGAGAAGTGTGAATAAATTGCTCACACTTCTCCTCTCTAAAGGTCAAAATAAATTAAAAGTGACTCATTGTCAATTCCAGGTGTATCAAGAGTAAGCCATAAAACAATCCGATCTTATCAGCAAATTGATTACACTGGATTCAAAACATGGTCATTTGTACGGTGTGTCCAGCAGTTGAAATGAAAAGTGAAAAAACAGTAAAATATAACATCATGTTGCACTATTTCCCCCCCATAATCTATACTTAACAAAACATACACAACAACTTACATTTACAATTCCAGGCCTAATTTTACTGACGATGTACAATAATCAAATATATCTATTGAATATACTGTGTGGGGTTATACACCTGCACTTGTACTGAATATCTACCCATTGCAGATACTACAGTATGTATTTTACATACTGGTCAGCTGTATCAAAAAGAAGCAGCATATTTTTGCCTTGTAAAAATGTATACCATGACTCGAGCAATGCATGAACATGCAGCCATGAATAGAGATGTGTCCTATAATGAATCTGGCATAATATACACGTCTTCTTCTTGGGAGTCTGGGAGGATGGAGAGGTTGCACGCTGGATCATTGCTGTATATTGCATCATCTGGTAAATCACACTGCAAATACAAATCCTCTTGAGGTTCACTGGACGACCTGTGGAGAAACAATAAGTGCAGGGGATAATATTCCAGCTTCTCTGATGTAAAACCATTGTGACACAAGACAAATATTGTGTAAACTCAGTGGATTTCCCTTTCCCAGTTTCTATTCTTGAGTAGAGAAAAACTTCAGCACTGAGTCATCAGCTGGCACGTTGGATTAATAGACTTTAAATCGCAGGAAACAGACAGAAGGAGAGATCTCTTCCAGACGCTGGCCAAATTGTGTGCATATAATACAACAGGTTTGTGCAAAATGGGGAAATTCACACCACAGTGTTTCTTCATCTGTTTCTGTTCTGATATCTTTGTGGAGGTGGAGTTTCAAAAATGACATTTCAACTTCAACATTTCCTCTAAACTGGTCTAAAAATGTGAAACTGATCTTGCCATTTAAGAAAACCTTTTACTAATAGTATGAAAATACTTGAAGTGTAGCTTACCTGCTCTGGTGTACTGAACGCCTGTTGTATCCAGTAGTTTGCCTTGTCAGGTTTTCATAAATAGGGGTCTGAGATATTGACTGTTCTCTGATCGTACTGATATACTGATGGGGATCAGCTTCTTGTGTCTCTACAAAGTCCTCCTTCTTCAGGCTTCTTCTATGTCTAAATTGCAACATATCCCTGATGTTTCTGTGGTATTTGTACAACATCACACCAACTAGCACCCCCAGCAGTAGAAAGAAGAGCGTCAGCCCCACAGCCAGACCTGCAGGGGAGCCAGGGGACGGGCAGGGGACGGTGTCATTTCCAGGGAAACAAGTGCTATTGACAATCATGATCTAGAAATATGAAAGTTATAAATTAAAGTGAGTGACTGCATGGCATTGCTATATATAGAAACTTGCAACAATTCATATTTCTTGATTATGTATTTAAAAGTTTAAAGACATTTCAGTCACCTAATATTGATTGTTCTTATTCAAAAGGCCTCTACATAAATAAAATATACTGTTCAGTGCATGATAACAGTTATCCATTTGGAATAAAGTCTTGTTTAGAAAAGATTTCTAAAATAATGTAATAAAAAAAAAAACACCATTAAAATTAACAACACATTCCAGGAAATACTGTATAAACTCATGTAAGCCAAGTCAAACAATTTGCTGTCAAAGTGTACATCACTAACAGTCATCTCACCGAACAACCTCCAACGCTGTGGGTCAAGGTCTGAGTCGTGAGTCAAGTCATGTAGTTTGTCTTTACTGTCTCACACTTGCAACAGTGAAGTTCCCTTTTTACTGAAATCATGGAACTGGCCAATGAAAGAGCTGAAACTAGAAGATTTCCTGTAAAAGCTGCTTCTGAAAATAGACAGCTGCTGACCGAAGCTGAATTAAGTGTTATATTAAAATGTATGACTCGATGGACAAGTTTCCAATCTGACCACAGAAATTATTAGGATTGCTTGACTGGACATTGTGTATGATTAAATATTTGATTGCTGGGTAGAAAATTTGTGTTGAATTGGTATTTTAAGTCTTAAGTTTACCGACACACACACACCGATTGAAAAAAACTTAAGTTCATCCAAGTTTAAGTAGTGTTACCTCTTATCTGCATGTCTATCAAGCTGTATTAATAAATGATATGAGATACTTTCACAACTCTGTTAAAGTGAAACTGTGCTACCAACACACTCTCACACAGACATGAACAGGAAGCTTGCTGGTCCAACAAGACCTTTACCTCCCCCTGCTGTTACTTTCACTCTCTACATACAGAATACACAAAGCCACATTGTTACATTACATTTCAATACAATTCCAATCATGTGTGTTCTGCAGAATTTGAAGAAAAGGTGGTTGAGGAACTAAACGGATTCTTCTCTTCTTCTTCTCTGATTTTATTGAAACAGCATTTGGCACCGCTTACTGGTATTAATGTAGCTTGATGGACATGCGGGCATCCTATAGTGGGGCCATCTGTCACCTTAACTCCTCACTGGTCCTTCATGCTAAACATAGAGCACCTATTGCAGGAAGAGAGATCCTTCTTAACAGGCTTAACATTATAATTTGGGAC